CTCGGGCCATTATCTCCGTAACCGTTCAACTTTGGACATAGGTTTTTAGGGTTATATCGGCATACTTTAACATAAGGAACACCCTCCAGAAGTTTGGTCCATTCCTCCTGGGACACCCTGTATATTCCTAAGTTGAAAATTCACTGGATGAATATGGTATTTTTATGTGATATTTTATCATCATAGTCTCCACTTTGACATCAATTTCCTTGTCAGAAGCTTCAGGAATGCACAAATACTACTAGTCCCTGCATGTCCCCTTAAAATATCAGTTATACAGCAGCTTGCATGAATTAAAAAAACACGGAGAGAGAGAGAGAGATTGTTAAATTATATGTCCAGTGACCTGGATAATATTGTACAAAGTTCACAAGTACTTTTACAAATATATATGTTTCTTCTTAAATTATGTGTCCATTGACCTGGGTAATAATATGCTGATTTCCTTAACAATTCATGGGTGCTGCTGTAGAACTGATATTTTAAGGGGACATGCAGGAACTAGTAGTATTGGTGCATTCCTGAAGCTTCTGACAAGGACATTAGTGATAATGTGGAGACTATGATACTAGCACATAAAAATACCATATTCATGCAGTGAATTTTCATAACAGTAAAGAAAAATTACTGTGCACAAAATGATTTCTTGTTCGATTCCCAGGATGCTGACTCCAGATCACAGAAAAACTGATTATAAAGTTTCATTGAAAATGTGGAGATTCTTAAATAGAATTTTGGACATGGGATTTTAGGTTCTCATGGAAGTGACTATGAAGAGTACTGTTATCTGAGATATGTGATTCTTCTCACTGATTGCTTGCTTCAGATACTTTTCAACACTGAAGATGGAAGCAGTATTTTTGTCCAAAATGTCTGTAAACTTCCATCAGGTTACATGGCATAACATCCCAGAAGATAGTACTCTTCAGAATTGTGAACATTCACATTTCTAGATTAAAGATGGGTCATGAAACAGGAGTATACCACGAGAATTTAGAAGTCATATCTGAGACCATAAAGTGGAAAGATATCCAAACCATACAAATTTTATGTTATACTCTCTAGGCAGAATTTGTGGCTGCTTTATTGCAGGACTGCTGCTGGAGTTTTATATCACACAAGTATACAGTCACTGGGTAATGAACCTTGAAGGTTCAAACAGAAGTGACAGTGAAATTTGACAAAAGGAGTTCTTTTCCATAACATTCTCATCCACAATAACAAAAGGCAAGTGCCAGCTGCTTTCAGGAGCTCAACTGCCTACCCTGGCCCCAAGTGAACATTTCCTCTTCAGACTCATGAAGAAATTTCTGTGAAGATTTTCTGACAGTGCTCATATAGGTCTGTTTCTGGTTACTCTGAAGCCAAAGAAGGTAGCTTTTAATTCAAGTAACTCAGTGGCATAGATTTACTGCACTGAACAGGGATGTTAAATTTAACTTTTCCCTTTTTGGGTTCAGTTGATAAGGCACATAACTTCCTGAATGATTCTCATAAATCAGTGACAGCCCTCAAGCAAAGGCTTCAGATAATTTCCAAATCAACATTTCAGATTACGCTGAAACACAAAGTTTCCATATGGAGAGTTTCGATATACATTTCTGGTAAGATTACTATAATTAGTTAGTTATTTTGAGAGGGTGGGTTTCCCCATGCACTTAGACCTTGTCAATTGTGCTTCCCTCTATGATTTCTACCAGTCTCTATATCCTACCGGTACTGGTACTTACCATCAGTCCCGCCCAGCCAGTGAGACCGGCTCTATTGGCTGAGAGGTATCTATAATGCTTCTCCCATCTACCAGAGGTATTAGAGACTGCTGTTGGGCGGGAAACGTCCGCAATTTTGGCTCAGTGACCTCCTTAGGAGATGTGAGGTTCTTTTACGTGCTGTAAAGCTATGACACGGGACGCACGGCTTAAAGTCCCTCCCGGAGGACTTGTTCCCTGAATTTTTCTGCCCTTAAAAATTCAACGACCTCCGCCGGGTATTTGAACTCACGTAATACGAGTCATGAGGTGGGAACGTTACCTCTAGACTACGGAGGTCGCTTTACTATAATTAAGTCTCCGTATGTAGCATCCTGGTAATATTTCTTAGGCCAAAGTGTAGCTCTGAAGCAAAGAATTCAGATATAGAATTAATATTGAGTTCCTATAAGACTACACACTGAACCATCAGACCACATGAGTAAGGCCATGGCCTATAGTAGTTGCAGCTTCCAGGTGGAGACTACATATCATGGGCGCAATACTTGACTGTGCAGGGCCTAAAGATTCCAGACTGAGCAGAGTTGTAGTAAGTGAAGAAACTCCAAAGGAGACTACAGATTCCACATGGAAAGTGAAAATACAGAGTTTCCAGGTAAGCATACCAGATGGGGTCTGTAGGCAGCTCCATCACATAGGTCTCTCGTTATAAATTTACATTTTATATTACATTGAAGGAATAACTAAAAACACACTAAATACACAAGCTGGCTGGCTCTGAGGCCCACCCAACATCCTATTCAGTGGGTAGAGGGGGTTAAGTGGCAGGGGTGTGAAGCTGACGACTACCCCATATATCTTTATAATGTGCTTAATTAAGCACAGGGACAACTTTACTCTTATTAATTTTTTAAACATACTACATATTAAGTACAAATTTGGTCTTATTACATTTTTCACATACCTTAAGGTCATGTGCCATTGACATGTTCATAATTGGGGACATAAAAACAATATTTCATACAGAAGCTGTAGGTATTTTTATGGTGTATTTTTCTTCTTTTATGAAGGTCAGTGATTGCCAAACTTCTTGACATGACCCCCCCCCCTCTGATTTTCAACAAACCATCATGCCCCCAGTGTACTTCCCATAGTAAGAACGTTTTTGTTGATGTGTCTCCATAATAACAAATCAGGTGGCTTCGGTTTATACATGGAGGCCAGACAGATGACCCCCACAGCAAATCCATGTCTGAAATATGGTTCTTCAACCACACGTTTGGTGTGAAACGTGAGGAGGGGCACCATCATGCTGAAACTACATGCCCTCATGAACGTTACAGGGTACATCCTCAAATACAAATGGAGCAGTACTTCAGGATAAATTAGGATTCTGAATTCCACCAAGACAATTCACTAGCATACGTGGTCCAATCAGGAAACAGTCCACGATTCTGACCAAAATGCTGATGCTAAATCTTTGCTGAAATAAATACAGTGCGTACAATCAAGTGCGCGCCGCGGCTGCAATTTGCCGTGAGTCATACCACCGCAGAACGGATGCAACTCCTCCCCGCGACTGCAGTGCTCCTACGCCGATGGTTGCATAATCGGAACCCGAGGTTGCATTAAACAGTCAGTCTTTGTCTTGCTGTGGAAGTGGAGTNGTAGAGGACTGTGGCCTCCCAGATCCCCAGATCTCAGTATTTCTGATTATTATCTTTGGGGCAACCTGAAGCAAAAAGTCTACAAAAATAATCCCCGCAGCATTGATAGTCTTCAAAATGAAATTACACGCGTAATTCATTCAATTACCGTCGACGAACTGCAGAGAGTGTCGCGTAATTTATTTGTGAGATGCGCGGCATGTTTGCAAGCAGAAGGAGGTCACTTTCAGCACCTGTTATAAACCACGGTAAGTTATCTTTTTACTGTATTCTTATAAATGTGTGCATGTAGAGCAACTGATGGACGGAGACTCAGCGACACCACTACACTCACGCTATCGGGGAACGGCACTGCAGTCGCGGGGAGGAGTTGCATCCGTTCTGCGGTGGTATGACTCACGGCAAATTGCAGCCGTGGCGCGCACTTGATTGTACGCACTGTAGCATCAAGTAGCAAAGGATTATCATGTAGATGAAGAATGTGTCCCATTCATTGTCACAGTTGTCTTATCAGTCCACTATACACAGCACAAAAAGTAAATATTCACCTAAAGTTATATGTACAAGCCATTAACAGAACTGGAGGTGGACATCACTGTTCTCCAGCTATATCACTCATACGAGTACAGTCTGTACATGGGAGTAATACAACCGCACCCTGAGAGAAACCTGTTTCATATCCAACTTAAGTGCTACCTGGTGCATTGCCATGGCCAACATGTGCTAGTGGCATACTGCAATGTACCATTGCAGACCTCCAATTTTGATACTAATGCTGACACTCCCTCGCTGCAGCTCTAGCATTTCAGTCACAACAGCCACATATGAAATGCATCTCAACCTACTATGCATTAATATATTGTATCTTGTGACATTATGGAGGACCCATCATGTACATACTTAAAATCATGACTAACTATGAACTAGTGGTGAACTAGACAAATGTCTATATTTTCTGTTCAAAATTATCTGAACCTTCTAAAGTTTGGTCAAAGGACTTTTGTGTGTGTGTGTGTGTGTGTGTGTGTGTGTGCAGCTCAGTCTATTTTATCATTGTGTATTACCACTCAGGGTAAAGCAGCTGTTAAATCAGGACCTTATGATCACAGGAAACACTTATTCTACTGCTACATATGTTAGTTATGAGTTGGAAGCAGAAGATGGCAGAATTGTTAAAGAGTTATTAATAGTAATCAAAGATGGCAGGCAACTAATAGCACTGGAAGGTGTTCTTGACTCTGACATACTGCAGTAACCTGTTAACTTAGTATGCAGATAAATTACAAATTATTGTACATCTGGTAATAAAATGAATTACTGTTTTTGAGGTAAGTTTTTATATACAAAAAGATAATGTTGGATGTTCACAGAAACTGCTTTCTCAACATACTTCATGTTCTACAATGTCTCACTGAAATTTCAACAAGCTTCATACTATGAAGAAAGTTGTCTTCTGGGTTTAGGCACCGGTGCCTAAACCCAGAAGACAACTTTCTTCATTGTCATCGCCGTGAAAACCTCAAAACTTACAAGCTTCATACTAGTCATGTTACTATTGAGACATATGTTGAAATCACAATTCCTGACAATAAGCCACTTGTGATTGTTAAGAACAAGGCAACCATCAAGTGTAACACGCTTTTTATTCAAATGCTGAGTCAATAAAATTGCCTTACATGACTAAACATTTTTGAAAAGGTGGCTGCCTTGTTGTAATACAGCCATTAGTAACTTATATGATGTACCATTACTCCTACTTTCGACTCAATATATTTACAATTTTTCCTCCCACAGTTTTGTATGCACTCACTTGGTTAAAATTTAAATTTCCTCTTATAAAACCCTGATCTTCCAAATTTTCATAATCACTGTCTCTTAACAGGAATCCACCTGTCACCTATCTACCCTGCCACTTCACTGAGCTAGCTATTTCAGCTCAAAATAAATTAAATTAAATTCTAGTGTTTTAGTTATGTCACAAAATCTGCAAGAAATATTCTCATTTTTCTCAGTGTTTTGCCTTGTCATTTTGCATGGTTTGTTATTTGTAGTGAAGAATGCTTGTTTACTTATGTGAAACAAAATTAATTCAAGTCTTTAAGCTTCAGATATAATCTATATCGTTCAGAAGAACATCACAGGCTCAATTTTTATTGCAAATGCCACATGCAATAAAGATTTAGACAGAGAAGGTATATAAATAAACATACAAAAGCAATAATTCTTCAGGTTTCTTTCTTCTGACGTTTCCTTTCTTCTGCCATCTGTGCAAGTTTCTTCTCCAACTTCTTGCTCACAGCACTTCTTTTGAGAGGATCAGGTTTTGTGGGTTTAGGATGACGGAATTCATGTTTTGCTGTTTTACGGGCGGCTTCTCCACAGCCATGCACCTCAGGAAAGCCATGACTTATACAAAATCTTTGCTTGCAATGAGCGCACGTCAGTCCAACTAAATCTGTTGCAATTCTGCAACTACTCCATAAACATCTCTTATCCATTTCTTTAAACTCTTCAATTATTGAATCAAAATCTTCAAGCTCTTGCTTTTTTTTTGATTTCTTGCTAACTTTCTCACTCTTCTTACATTCAGTTTTCTTCATTTCTCTCAGTTCACTTGGCCCTGGGGCAGACTCCTCTGCAGAAGCTCTGGTAGCATGCTCTACGTTGCACTTCACTTGTTCATTGGAAGAATCATTTGGTTCCTTGACCTTCACTTTTAAATTGTTGTTGGGCTTCTTTGTGATGTTTACATTTCCAACTGAGGGTCTATCAGCAACTGCTTTGTGAACCACAATGTGTCTGTCATTCCCTTCACCAACACTGATGTGAAGAAGATTAAGTTTTGAGGCTGCTTCATGAATTAATTTCCTGTCATATGCTGATATGGATTTTGGAAACTTCAACTCCATCTGCTCATTGTTCCTAACAAACTCTTGAAGAAATGACTGATAATAATCCTCTTTCACCTGTTCATTCTTTGCCTGCTGTGTGTCTTTCTTCTCTCTATCAACATTCACAGCTTGCTTTTCTTGAACATCAACAATTTTCTTTTTTGCTTTTTTGCTTTTTTTATCATTTCCCATCTCACTTTTTATCTTCTTCTGAAACTGGAACTTTGGGTTTTGTAGGACTTCCTTAGGAGTTTCCAATTCTGATAAATACTGTCCTGCAGAGTGGACAACACCGTGCTGTTCAATGTAATCGATCAAGCTTGCCAATGTGCTATCACATGACACTGTACTAGAATCAGCCACAACACACAGAAACCTACGAGCACGGCTAACTGCAACATTTAGTCTGCGCCGATCACAGATGAACCCCAATTCCCTCTGTGAATTTGATCGAACCATAGAACACAGGATGGCTTCTTTTTCACGGCCCTGAAATCCATCCACAGATCGCACCTCTATGCCATTCAAGTGAGGGATATGAGCCCTTATCATTTCCACCTGGTAATTGTATGGAGTTATCACAGCCACAGAAGTTTGTGGAACATTAGCTGCTACCAGTCGTTTTATGAGAATGGCAATTATTCCTGCTTCCCCTCTGTTACATCGTGATGTTTCAAACATCTCCTCTTCTAAGTGATAACCAGCAGTGTCCACGAGCAAGATTGACATTTCAGTTTCATCTGTAGACTTCACAAGAGGAAGATCTTTCAGTAAGTGGCTGCCAACGGACGGGTCGGCCTCTAATTGTCCCCCATACATCTCCTGAGATGGCCAAGTCATAATATCAGTATGCATTCGAAACTGGCGCTGTAATAACCGATACCCTTCTTTTGCAAACTTCTCCACTGCTCTTTCCATGAGACTCAAACCTAAACCTCCCCGCTCAGCTTTCTGACTAATCACTGTAGGGGGAAGCTGAAGGTGATCACCTGCAAGGATAGCTTTAGGAGCCCTAGGAAGAACTATCCAACAAGCTGCTTCCAGTGCCTGAGAACACTCATCAATCACAACACAATGGAAGTGGTCTTCTGGAACATATTTAAGAGGTCCTGCATCACTTGCTGTGACAAGAGTTGAAAGCACTACATCTGATCCCTGTAACACTTCTTTCAATGCACGTGATTCCCTTTGATGCAGTTCCTTCCGAAGGTTCTTCAACTCTTTATGAAGTTCTGAGAATGTCTCCTTGCGATGTCTAGTCTTTAACTTCTTCAACACATCATTCAATTCCTTTTGAATATCTTTGACAATTTGTGTACTGCTACTTCTATCCACAACTGCATCCAAAGAATATCTTGCTACACTATCCATTACACATCCTGGGTGACCTAAACGTACCATCTTCACATTGTGGCTGGCCAACCTTTCAACTAAATTGTCCACGGCTATGTTGGATGGGGCACATACCAGAACTTTATTTCTTGCCTGTATCATATGAAGTATTATCTCTACCAGTGTTGTTGTCTTCCCAGTGCCTGGTGGTCCATGAATCACAGCCAGATTCTTCATCTCAAGTGCAAACTTGACAGCCTCCTTTTGATCTTCATGGAGATTGACATTAATATACATTAACTCTCCTTGGGCATCAAGCATAAGAGGAGTAAGTGGAATTCGCTCCAAGCAATTACTTTTGCCAAATAGCAGTTCCACAAGCACCTTACCAGGTTTACTTATGTGAGTTAGATCTTTTAAACTTGACTTTAGTCGAGAATAGGTTATATCATTTGCCAGCTTCACCAGTGTATATACAACTCCATTTTCTTCACTGAAACTACTGATATCCTCAAATGAGACTCCAATGCTTTCGTCAGTACTGAATTTAACAACGCCTGTTGCTAACGGAGTGCTCCGAATATTGGATCCTTCTATCACACCCACAACATCTCTACGTGTTAGATTATGTACTTGTAGAACACTGTTTCTAGCACTTCGAAACTCAACTATCACATAACCTCCTAAACATGAAATATAGGAAAAGGCTGTTACATTTTTTAGGCAGACAGCACCTTCGGAAGTGGTAAACAGCCTCATGGACTGTTCGTATTCTTCTTTCCTCTCACATTCAAGAAGATCCAGTTGTCTTGATACGAAATCTGTAACGGCATCTTCGTACGTGGTACCCATTTCGTTCCCAACCCACTGATCACTTCTCTTAAGCCAAATAAAATATATTTATACACTAAACAACCAAGCATCTAGCACTGAACAAAAGCCAATAGGCTGTCAATTTTCCTGCTATCAGCTAATTGGTTACATTATCAATACTGTATTTCTGTATAACCAAAGCACGATAAACTTTTCTCAGTCAAAGAGAAGTATAATCCTTTAATAATGTCTTTCGAAAATAACTTACATACGTACACTTTCGCATTTTTCATTCTCATCACTTTACCATTCCAACTCAAAAGCACGGATCACATCTTAAGTTCTAATAGTATTCACCACGGATTACAAAATGTTGTCACACTCTTTCTGTCATAACCTCCAGATTACACTGATCTGTGTACAGGAGCGGACGGGAACGGACGGGAAGGTCTTCGCTTCCTTCAACCTTGTTTCCTTGAGAGAGAGTGAGTCATTCCTTGGTCCGTGTTCCTAGCGTACATGGTTTTCCTGCTCTCTACGGGCGAGGGCAACGCAACCGGAATATCCGAGAAGAATCACCGATTTCAAGCAGAAGACTGGTTTCCAGATTAGCAGGTGCACACTGAGGAAACTTATGATTGATTAGTTGCTCATATCATTAAGCGGGTATGTTTGCCCGACTCAATGCATGATTATATTTTTTTATTTCGTGCAGTGCAATGGAAGATATGATAATACAACTGAACCTGTCATAATTTCGTGGTAGCTGGGACCGCTTGAGACGGCGTGAGAAGAGAGGACGGTGACCATAAGGGAAATACTGGGATGTTAATTAATTTGTTTTAATTAAGGTTAATTTATTTTAATTAGGAAATGACGCGTTCACACAAGATACGAAATTTTGACATACAGTGCAACAATTTTAGTAAGATAGAAGACACCTGAAGACGGCCGTATATAGCCGAACCATGTAATGTGGGTGACTATATAGTAAGTTGTATGCAAGACGGAAATATGTGTGAAATAAATGATATATTAATGCATAAATACAATTTGAACTGAAGCGCTTATATTATTTCGAATGAACTTAACCTGGATCCAGACTCCGTCGTCTAATGAGAAATTCTTTCCCAAACCAAATCTATTTTGTTCCTCATAGCATAGCTCTTGTTCAATTAACTTCATAAATAAATTAGCAGCTTCGTCAACCTTTTGTACCACCTTAACAAACAAATGAATCACTGAAGCGCGTTACAGAACTGCTGATACCAGGAAACCACGCTGCAACGCAATTGTGACAAGATTGGCATGCTCCGTTGTCTGGAAATTGAGTTTCTCAATCTGTCCGCAAATTACGTTGCCATGATCTGTCGCACCCAGGGACCAAAGCAACGGCAAAACTGGTCGCACAGCGTTTCGTGTGGAAAGGCGTGCAGAAGGACTGCCGCACCTGGGCGCGTGCTTGCCAATCCTGCCAGCGCTCCAAAGTCTCCCGCCACAGTGACTCCATTGGGCGATCCCTTCCGACGTTAGGAGGCTACACATACTGCCTCACTGCAGTCGACCGTTTCACCCGTTGGCCAGAAGTCATCCCCATCCCGGACATCACAGCCGACACAGTGGCACGAGCCCTACTGACGTCCTGACCGGATGGATATCCCGCTTTGGTTGCCCGCAGACCATCACCACCGACCAGGGACGTCAGTTTGAATCTCAACTCTTCCACTCCCTGGCCAAGCTCTGTGGCATTCAACTCTCGCGGACAACCGCTCACTATCCAGCGGCTAACGAACTTGTGGAACGTTTCCACCGAACACTAAAGGCAGCCATCATGTGCCACGCAGACCAACGCTGGACAGAAGCCCAATCGCTGGTTCTCCTCGGAATCCGCACGACATTCAAAGAGGACCTGTAGGCATCAGTAGCTGAGCTCGTATATGGCGAGCCATTAAGAATACCAGGATAGCTGCTAACTCTGACTGCCGATCCAGTAGAGCCAGCGCACCTCATCACCCAACTTCGCCAATATATGGCCCGCCTCAGACCAGTTCCGGCAACATTCGTGCACAGCGACCTCGAGAAGTGCACGCACGGCTTCCTCCGGCAGAACACAAATCGCAGAGCGTTGGAGCCCCCCTACAGCAGCCCCTACCAGGTCCTGTCATGGAAGGAGAAGATGCAAATCCTCGTGCGCAGCAGGCTCATCACCGTGTCAACCGATAGGGTCAAACCTGCCTACATGCTAAACGAGACAGGCCGTGGAACCACCACCAAAGACCTTAAACCTCGCAGCCGACGGAACCCCACATGCCGTACACCACTGCCTATAGCACGAACTACACACTCTGGACGTCACGTACATTTTCCTGCTCGCTTCAACGAACATCTGAGCAACAGTCTCCGTGTGGGGGGGGGGGTGATGTGGGAACTGCCCACATTCAAGCAAATGTGACAATGCAAGTATCATTGCTTAGCAACGGCGACTAACAGCAGTTGGTAAGCAAAGCCTACAACAATACTGACAGTGACATAAGTTATATAAGATACATTGAGTGGAAAATAGGTGGTGGCACCCCGTGTGGAGGCGGGGTTGAATACCTCCACCGTGGCCCTGCGAGTCGTAGGAGGCGTAGAAAAGGGAAGTCTCAATTCTAAGACAGTAAAATATGGTTGCGAGTCCCAAGGGATTCGGACCCTAGTAAGACTGCGCTGGCAAGGGCCAGCAGCATATACAAAAGACAGACCCGTCCTCTTGTCAGAGAAGGCGCCCCACAGAAACAAGACCGTAACTGTCAAATGATAATAAGACGATCAGTCGCAATGTTACTTTGACTTTGAGTTTACAGTTACAGTTCTAGATTTCTACAGTTCTACAATTCTAGTTCAGTGTTAAAGGAGTTCACTATTGTTATTATTTTTCAGTTCTTCAAAGTCAGGTTCGTCTGTGAATACTGTGCAACTGTAATAAATATTATAGAACAGTTCAACAAGTGGTTGTTTTTTCATATAATGACATCCCGCACCCTTAGCCAGACCACCAATGAGGCTGTAGGAGGCAAGGTTTAAAGCCTCCATGGAATGTGGTCACCAGTGACCAAACACTGCAGGACTGGATGAGTCAGTGTCAGATTAGACTGTCAGTAGACTTAAGGCTGACCAGGACTTGCAGAAATGAGTATGAACCAGTATGGAAAGTGGCCACTGGCATTGTCACATTCAACCTCTCATTACACACTCAACATACTAGCCAAGAGGAATGATGATAACCTAATCACTGAAGGGTAGATAACAGACAATCAGGACGGAGCAGTGTCTTAGGAACTGAGTGGAGTGAAATGGTCTGCTGGCAATGTTTAGGAAACCAACTGGCTAATATGAAAGACCTATGTAATCAGCAGACATTTCAGAGCCTTTGATATGGGTTACATGCCTATAAAAGTAGTCTTATCAATGAGTAACTTGTGAAGTTCTTCAGTCTTCAGTTCAGTGCAGTAATTAGTAACCAACTAATTTGCAGGGCATTTATGGAGATTTGAGATGGACAGTAGGACACAAACTGCCTCCGAAATTCATTATCCTTCCAATATTTTAGGAGGAAGGGCACTACCAAAATTTATTAACTAGGTACCTTCTTGATATCTATCCTTCAGATGTATTACTATTATTATTATTGTTATTTTATTTCATATCTGTAAAGAGCTTATTACTTAAATACAGATTCTGTATTAAAGTTTTCAGATATAACCTCAATATTTTGCAATGTCACGATGTAATTACTGATTTATCATATTGTATTCCACTCTCAAGGTCCAGGTATGTTTGAAGTCTACTTCAACAGAAAATTTCATGTCTAGATGCACTGTTTCATTAGTTACCACCATTAAATCAAATGTTATGGTAATATTTCACATGGTCATCACGTTGTTATTTCTCGATTCTAGTCATAATTAAGCACTTATTACTCATGATGGTACAAAAGCCAAATGTTCCTTTCATAGGAGTATGACCTGCTGGTGCACTGGTCCCATACGGAACTTGTTGCAAAGGATGAAACAAAACCACGAAAGTTTAAATGCTGTTGTAGCAGTGCCTGGAGCTGCTGCATACATCAGTCGCACAGTCTTACTGCACTTGTGGAATCAAGTCTTCAGATGTTAAAAAAGTGTACTGCCATCACATATGCATTTTACCTTCCAGCTACAACAGTTATATCTTTATTATGTACATTTCTAGCTTTAGTGTAGTTCGTGGCATACTTTGTGTATGGTTCTGATAGTAGAAGTGAAGATGAAGAAACAAAATACTACAGTAGAAACAGAATCAACAGAAAAGCTGGGTTGGAGAATGCTAGGTAACAATTCATGGTCCAAGCCATTATTTAAAATCATTAATATTCAATGAGTTGCAACATTTCATTCACCAACTAAGACTTTTTTCACATTTGTCTTTCTTACAACAACACATTAGACAGTGGTGCATTAAAAATGTTTAAAAGCTTGGTAAAATATATATAGAATCTTAAAATAAAAATCTGTATTTGCATGTGCCAAAATCTCAGGTGATCATCTGCATCAATGTTGAGTTAAAAACCAATGTTTCTGATATACTATATTTACCAGTATATAGAAAGCGGCATCAATTTGACAGACTGGTATAAAAAGGTAAAGCTATCCCTGTAACAGGTTGTGGGACATTGAGGATTCCACATTTTCTATACAATTGGCTCTCAGATGGCAGTAAGCTTGTCAGCCTTGCGCGCCGGCTACCCTTTACCCCCAGGAAGATTCCTGGTACTCATTTCTGTCAAGAGGCTGAGTTGACCCCAGGGCCATAGTACAGCTGGAAAGATTAGGTTAATTGAAAAATCCAATGACCTCATCAGGAATTGAACCCGCAACCTTCCAGCTTGTAGCATAGTGTCTCAACCAACTATGCTACTGCTTGCATTGATAGACTGGTATATACACTGTATATCATTGACATATAATCTTTCACCATACTGATCCTAATGATGCAGATGGAGATCTCTGAAGTGCTAGTTTTCAACTCGACACTGAAATGGCAGATTGCCTCAGAAGATATTAGCACATTTATTCACCATGAAAGCTTCATATCTTGTATCTACATTCATTCACATAACACACAACATCTATTTTATGAATATTATGGCAAATAAAATATTACAACCATTATCCCATAAATATCCATATTTTTTAAACCTTGATATCCAATGTAATGCCACTGCAACAAACTTCAGCACACCTCAGAATCGGTTTATGACTGAAAATATGTTAAACTTAAATATAGTACAAAAGTTATCTTTAATGTTAAAAACCACAGTCACAGAGAAATATTGTGCTGGCATAGATCTGACATTTTTTTTAAACATTTTGAAAGACATTGCATAAACAGAATAACATGTAATGAGTTTGGACGAAGTTTGGTTTAGGAAGTTTCCAAATACAACCTGGCAGTTCTCCCTTCTGGTTCAAATTTCTCCATGAGAACTCCTAATATATGTACAGCAAGAAAAAATCTGCTTTTCTATTTCATTCAATAGGATAAATAAGAATTTAAAATTAAAGTGATCTCAGTAAAATACACTTCAACCAAGTAGGTAACTCTATATAGCAGAATCCTCTGTGAGCAGTTTTCTTCCTTTTATGAACTCTGGTTCATTATCCTATTCACAACAGGAAGCTACTGGTCCCTATCCTGACCAGATACACTTTATATTATGTATAATTCATATGTGATGCGTCGTTTTCAAGAAATGTTATAACATTTGATTATCCGCAATTTTGACTGACAGCAGTTTCTTCCGCTTTTCATTGAACCTAATTCTGGTTCATATTTGAGGCTCTCACAGTAGTGTCCATGAAGAGTACTATTTTGTGGGATGTGCCATTGTGTAGTCTGGTATAAGTTCATCACTGTTCCAGAGGAAAGTGCATGATTCTCCAAAGGTTTGTAAACTTCTACCAGACTACATGGTGTCACAGCCCAAAAGACAGTAGTCATAATTCTGGCACTTTTATCCTTTGCTTTATTAAACACATGCATACATACTAAACAATGAATTTAATCCCTGTAGGCCTATAGGAATAAGTAACAGAACAAAGACTATTATCATCCAATATCTTTTACTCTTTTTCTTATAATGCTTTTGATCACAAGTGTACAATTATGCTTCAAGTGACAGAAATCTGAGCTTTATATGCATTAAGAATTTTATAATTTGAGTAATCTATCACATAATTTCATTTTTACTCTGCCTTGTGCCTACATCAGACAGGGCACGCGCTTCTTCACTACACATCATCTTTAACTTATTCCTCTGCAATTAAAAATGCCAAGTGATTGTATAAAACAATATTTTTCTACACAGTAGCGACTCATAGACAGGAATGCTTACTGAATACTTCTATGAATCATCTGTTAACAGCTTTATTTATATCTTCAAACATGTCCATTTTATTTCTGTTGATAACTTTGATTTGAATGTGAAAACACGAACCTATAAATATGGGAAAACACAAAGAAGGAAAAGACTTAGTGAAAGTAAATGGCTTAATATTATATCACATTTCTTTGCTACAATGAAATTTCTACTCTCACTCTCACAGTATGTACAGTATACTCTTTTTCTTGTTTAAATTTGTTTACATTTAAGATAGCATGCCTAACAGAAACTTCCAAATAAAGTTCTCATAGTTTTGAACACAAGTCCAACCAAGTTTGTGGAAACTGAAAGATGCTGGTTATAACTGGCCCCCTGTCTCAATCACATTCTCCTACCTGGTCCTTCTCTTTTTCATTTGCATCATGCTGCCTCCATCTTAACTCGTACTCCACTACAGCTGTAATGCCTCCTGCTCTGTGAATATAACGCAGTTGGTATTTTTCTACTTTGGGCCTTGTACATGTAAATATAACACTCTTTCTATTCATTTGCTCTTTCTTTATGCAGTACTAGTATCAGTTTTATTAGTGTGAAGAGGTAAAGGACAAAGTTGCTTGTGAAAAATTAGTGAGTTTCAACTTTTTACTGCATTTGACATTTAAAAATTTTTGATTTTGGCAAACTGTCTAAAAATTGAGATGTAATTTGAATTTTGCACAAAGGAAATTAATTATGATACATCCAGGTAGAAAACCAACTGGGAAAATACATCAAGGTAGGAAATCAACTGGGAAAATTGAAACTCTTGTTGGTGTAATGTTCACTTTATCAACATTTTACTATGATTTAGTGATCCACATATAAAACAATCTTGCTGATCTACATACCATAAGAACCAGGGAAACTGGAGTTTCATACTTCCCAACTGTTTTGAATGTAACCATAATACAGCAATTTTTTAAATTCAACAATAATATACTATAATATGATACAAAAGAGCATGATCACCATTCATAATGTGCAAATGAAATAAAAGTCATCTGCTACTTGCCCTTTTACAAATTTCAGCTGCTTGCTTGTTGTCAAACAGCTCAAATTACAGTGTATATTAACGACTTAAAACTGAAAATTTATATATCTCAGAAAGCGTGTCATTATACCCAGTGCTCCAAATGAACAATATTTAATTTAAAGCCAGTTAAAATTATGAACCAGCATGAACATATTTACCATATAAAATACTAAAGAGATAAGAAGCCACTTCATTGGTTTGTACTTCCTAGGGCAGCAGGCCTATTTATAATCATGTAAATAAAGATAAAAAAATCACATGTAACTTTCATTGACTAGTACCCTAAAAACAGAGTATGTCTGATTAGTTTTTCAAAAGAGTTCATTTATTGTTTGCCTACAAATCATATAAAGAACATTTGCAATAAACTAGGTAGGACCTAAATGACCCTACTCTGTGTCACAGACCAGAAGCAAAGATAAAGAGCAACACAATGCTTGTGTAGGGCTACATCCTACACACAGTAAAGTCCACAGCAATGACCTGCTGAAATATCCCAGTAGTGGAGACAAGAACACAAATGTGTGTTAATGTGTGTCACACTTTGTGTGTGTGCGTGTGTGTATTCCTAACATGATGGAGGAGCATGTTCTGTAGGAACTGGAATTCCAAACCCTTACACGCCATAGGAACCACTATAAGAAAAAATAAAAGCTTTACATTTATAAGAAAATTAACAAATTGTAAGAACACTTTATGGCACTTCTCTCTTTCAAATGTTTCCATTTGTATCAAGAGGATGGTGGAACTTATAATTATTGTGAGACAACTCAGACAAAAGAATTAAGTTCATGGCAAAAAAAAAAAATGTCAAATTTGTTTAAGTCACTATTAAATATTTCCAAAAGAACAGGCTATATATAGGGTTAACTGTGATGATGAAAGCAGTATGTTCCTCTGAAACATTAGCATCCACCTATGGTTTACATGCTGTCACAACCCAGAAGACACAATCTGAACTTTTAGTGTAAGACAAATTTCATTAAAATACATTACATAGATCTAGAGATAAGACAAAAATGGGACACACACGGTTTCCCAGTTATGTTCACATCATGCACACTGTACAATGAATACATAACAAATGATATTCCACTTAAAATTTATAAATAAATATAAATAAATTTCTTACTCTGATATTCTTAATGCATCTCTCATGAATTTGTACTCCACTGGTGAACTTAAAACTGTCTGTCATTTGTGCTGCTCAATCTTTTCTCTAAATAAACGTTTAGGACAAATGACATCACTCACTATCCCTCAACCATCAACTGCTCATAAGAAGCAGGGTTTCTGAGAGGCAGCAGTTGGTTTCAAATTTTTTATTCTTTTACCTTAGGAATTCTGGGATGAGGCATAACCCACATATCAAGAAAAAAGATATATATAACCATCTGGACTTGCTCCAATACCCACCCTTTTCCTTCTTGAAGTTTCATGAAATGCATGCAACACATCTATGAATGAATAAAATCTTTGACTTTCATCCCCTCTCCATTTCTGTTGCCCATCTCCATCTCTTCAGTTCTTAACTACTTCCAACATCCCTGCAGGCCAAGGTCACAAATTTTCAGAATCATAAATATGAAATGTACTTACTGTTCAGGGAACTGCTGTCTGTTCACACTGTACTGGAGTACCATATCACACTTTTACTGAAGCACCAGACCAATCTAGAATATACAAAATATACCTTTGTAGACCTTCACATTAAAGCCATACTGCATTGGTAACAAACAAAAACAAATGTTACAATTATAAAGAACAAGTGTGATGGACCAAAAATGAAACAAATCAAATACAAATGTATGTACCATCAACTTACAATTACATGCTATTGGCCACCTGATGTTTCAATCATTTAGATCATCCTCAAGAGCATTTTAAAGCTCATAAGCTATTAAAGATTACGGTTTCAATTTATATACCATACAGAATTTCTGCTGAATTTGTTTGCCCTATGATGTCTTAAAATTCATGAAGATCAAAATGCCAAAAAATATGGAGCATATAACAAAAAATATATATAAACTTTAATGTAACCACTATGTAAATGAAGATATAGATATATAAACTCTGATAATTGGTCTTTCAGAGACTTTTGGTTCCATAATTTTATAACAACACATGGTTATTGAGATACTGAATTTTAAAATCAGTTAATCATACTTTATTGGGTGGGATAGGTGGACAACGCCAATTGTATAGGTAGTACTGGAGATTTCCATCGCCAATTCCAAACTTCAGTGTCTCAAGAAACTCCTTGTTCTCCATGAGGTCCAGGGCATTGAATACATCAAATCCATTCTGTAATACAGAATAACTCGTCATATATGCAAAACTTCTATAGAAACCTGTTTATCAGTTCTCATGGTGCATGATTTACAAAAACATCATAAACAGCATTATAATTTGTATATTCAAATAACGAATATTACATAAATGTACTCCTAAATCTATTCAAAGCTACTGAAACACAATAAACTCCTCAATAATATGTATTAGCAACTTAACCACAGTTGCTGAAATGAAATGTAAGTTATATTTCCAAAGAAATAGTTTCCATTAGTACTTTCCTGCACTTAACCTCATTCCAGTGTAAATGCTCCCATGTAAATTCTCATCCCCAGGTTACAGCTGCATAAGGTCCATTTTCTTCTTGTCTCACTGTGACACCTACTGCAGAACTGACTACTTTGTGTTTTGACAGATTATACAATATGTGGAAGGAAAGTGTTCCTTTCACACATTATGCCCAGTCTGAGAGTTACATGTTTGACCACGAACTATTTAACACTCATCTGTGAAATAATAACATCAAATTTAGGATCACGGTCCACTTAAATACAGCCAGGAGAGGGTTAAGTTTAAAGTGTTTTGGCTCGATAATCTATATATCCATGTTTTATGTTTGGAAGTCAGGACACACAGGGACTGAGTTCTGTGACTGGACTAATCTTCAGCAAGTATGGTCATTTTCAAAGTATTCACTTTCTGAAGAAAGTCTGTCTGTCAGCATCTGCTCACATTGCTTCCTCACTCGCAGATTTTCTTTTTTATTCTGCCCTCAAGAAGGAGATGATATGTTCCTCCGAAACGTCAGTTAACACAATATCTACATGGAGCCACATCCCACAAGATGCCTTTTTTCATAGTCACTGCACTGAAAACCTAAAATCTTACATATTCACTTTCTGTTTTCATATACACATTCCAAAGTTTTGTTTCTGTGCACAATGCCCAAAAGTCATTTCAGTACTGTCACCACAATGACCTAGAAATCTTCAAAGTCATCAAAATAAAACCCCATCAAGCAGACTTTTACTTCTGGGAACTCAAGAAGTCATACAAGGCCAAATGGAGTACAGTATGTGTTCCAACACTGGTAGTTTCTTTTGAATAAACACTGCTTTACAGAACATGGAAAATAGGAAACATATGTAATCACAATGCAATTCCACTTATGTAATCACAGACGTGGACTTTCGCTGTTGTAGAAGTTCAAAAACTTGAAGACAGGATGCCTGGTCAACTGTTTTGGAGAAATAAATTTGTAACACACAATTTTTTGCATAAAAAATGAAGATCAAAATGATTGTCACATTTTTTTTAAGATCAGAAACTCTGGACTTTTCCATCAAAATTTTGAAGCTCCTCATTATGTAGTTTTTTCCAACCTCCTGTCACTTCATCTCTCTTCAGACCAAATATTCTCAACACCCTCAGTCTATGGTTCCTTCCTTAATGTCAGAGACAAAGTTTCACACCCATCCAGAACCACCATTACTGACATTAATTTTGATCTTGGGTTGTTACAGTGTGTGGCTGTGGGCTATGTAACCAATGTTTCAGAGGTACATACTACCTCCATCTTGAAGGTCAAAGCATTCAGGTTGCTCTGTGTGTGTGTGTGTGTGTGAATGGTGATTTTAAGGGCAAAGGATATGTATCAAAAACCCCTTGGCAAATGATGCTCTGGCACGTCATCAAGCGAAGCATTGCTAAACCTCTTACTGTGATTCAAGCAGCATGGACAGTGGTTGTGAGATCACCGTTAAGTTGACGGCAAGTTTCGTAGGGAATGGAACGAAGAAGCAAGCATAAAGAAGAATGGACCAACAAATTCTGTGCAGATACCCTTTTAAGGAATGCACTGCTTGGCCCTCAAATGGGCTGTCAGCACAACATTCCCAGTCCCCTGTTCCTACAGGCCGAGACAAGGTGCCAAGCACATGCTGTCCTCCATTCTATTTCAAAACAAAATACATACACAGCAACACACCAACATACATATTGCAACCCTGAAGATGGATGCAGCATGAACCTATGAAAAAGTAGCAACATCACCCATAACCACAAGGTGTAACAACCCAAGAATAAAATTAACTCTAAAGAATGATGACATGTCTGTGTTAGTACCCACAATGTGGTAGTCTTCTTATGCCTACCAGCTCAGTACTTACATTTTTGGCAGAGACAAGGGCGTCACTCATAAGATCCACCCAACTGGTTGCCGTGGAAACATTGTAGAATGAATATGCAGCCTTCAATGTCTTGTGAACTGGGTGGTGCATAACGGTCGATGGTAAAGTATAATAACTCACAAGGTCTGACAAAAGAACAGGTTAAAATATATTGAACTAATCACTTCAGCTACAATTGATTTAATTGCATTGTTAAAAAGCGATTATATGAATTATATCTGGAAAGTAAAGATACAAGCCCAGTAAAAATGCAAGGGATTTCTTTATCTCAGAAATGACAGTGCTGCCGTGTGAGATAGGAAATGTATCACAGGGCTGAGTTCACTGGCCACAGTCATGGCAATGTTGTGCTCACAGTGTGTTTAAAACAGCCGTGTCATTTCAAAATTCTGCCAAATGTGAGATTCATGCAGTAATTCAATTTCTTCAAGTGAGAGGAGAAACTGATGCTGAAATTCATTGCCAACTTGTTTCTGTTTACAGCGAACATGTTATGAACTGGCAAAACGTGGCAAAATGTCATCAATTTGAAGTGGGAAGAAATGATGCTCATGATGAAAACATGCAGAAAATGCACTATTAATGGGTAAAGAGAAGAGCTCAATTCAATCACTAAACTCAGTCATAACTGCAGCTTATACCATTCTCTACCCTGTACCTCTCTCAAGGAGAGTTGAGTGTAGCCCATTAAAAGTAAATCATTTAAGTTTTGAAGTTTTCGCAGTCGTGATTCTTAAGGCTTTGGTCTTCTGGGTTGTGACACCATGTAGTTTTTTGGGTAGATACCAACATTTTTGAGGAACATGCTGCCTTCATCATCAGGCTTGAAGTGTGTAGGTTCAGTAACAGCCTCATTCATATTGGGAAGTTACAAGGAAACTGTTCCTAATAGCAAAGGAAGGGAAGCAGGGAACTTGGTCCTAGCCAATGGGAAGAAACTGACACAAAACGAACCTTATAAGGGGTACACTCATTTACTGTCATAGGTGGGAAGTGGAATAGTGGGAGGAAAAGTGGCCTATTCTTCACACAATTCCACTTTCCCTCTAAAAACAACACTGGATCCTCAGAAAAGCCCATCCTCTCTCACTAATCCATTTCCCACTTCTGACAACAAACCAGTCAGCAATATGAAAGTGCTGTCTATCCACTTCTTCCCATAGGATCAGGTTCCTTTCTTTCCCCCTTCTTCTTGGGCTTGATAACCATCCCCTTAGAACTTTCCTACATAAACAAGCATATATCTGAATATACACCCTTCAGCCCTGAAGACAGAGGTAGCACATTCTCTGAAAAATCAGTATCCTTCCACAAAACTAGAAAATGCCAAAAGTTAGAAGACCACAATTTAAAAATAAATCATATTTGTAAGCCTTCATCTAAGAGAACAACAAAGGAGCAAATTTCCAGGGATACCACTGTACAAAATAAATAAAGGTTTAAATGCTAACGCATATCTTGAAAACACCTTAGGAAGGCTTTCACTGTTTCTCACAAAAATGCCTCGGGATATCTGCCTCCCAAACTAAAAATCATATAATTATGGAACCATCTTGAAAGTCCTAATTAAACTGAGGAAATACAAAAATTTGGTTTAAATACTTCCAGAGCCTGTGAAGGAGACATTCCTAGAACACAATATTTCATTGCTGTAAAACATATGATTTTTTTGGAACATAGGAATTGATGATATGCTGCCCTCACTCATATTTATTACAATGGCATGTTCATCTAAGAAAAACTTGGGGGGGGGGGTGTTGGAAGGAAGAAAGTATGAACCTCTGCATTAACAAATGAGTACTAGATACTTCCCTCAACAAAACATACTGCCATTTAAAAACATTAAAGAAAATCTCCCTCCAAAATTGCTTTCAATGCCAGCTGTACCTTTAGATCAATACTTCACTGAGTTTAATGTTCAGTGACATCTCTGGAAGTAGAAAACAGCAGATCTTCATGATCATCACTGGATGTATTACAAAGTTCAAGTGTGAAATTGTGCTGGATACTTTCATTACCCTGTGTATTTATTTTATAAGAATTTTATTCTGAAGTTCCTTACTTGTACAATCTTCTTTATTTAAATTTTAGTTGCTAACACATCACCATTCAAAGGCTTAAATATTTAAAGTCTGAGTGAATATTATATGTTTTGAATGGCATTAGCTTTCATCTTCATCCCTATGAAACTTATTTAAATCATCAAAACCAATCAAATGTGAAGTCTCAATTATCTGATAATGCAGGGTAGAATTAGTGTGGTAATTAAAAGCAATGGACATTCCAAATATCTAGAAACACCCGCTACCCAAACACTGAAATTAATTTAATTATTACTGGAACTTCACTGCTTTTATATAAATTACACACCTCACTTCCCCCCCCCCCAAGAAAAAAACACACATAGAAGTTGATGCACTTAAAAGCAATCTGTTTTACTGTCAAAATTATATGCTTATGTTTCCTGCAATTTTTAGGTGAACACTTAATAAAATAAAAAGGGTTAAATGATGCTGTGCCAACAAAATTTGAGAGGGAAAATGAAGAAGGAAAATTGTGCCAAATAAGGTGAAATTTGATGTGAGAGGGTAAGGGATATTCTACTACTAGAATTTGGAATAGAATAAAAATGCTGTACCAAACTAATGAACTCTGTGCGAAGTTAAAACCTGTAATGAACTGTATGCTGCAGAATCTACTATATGCTCCACTTGTCATTAAAGGCAGGATTCATACCAAAGGAACTTATAACATGCAACAGGCACCTACCAACTACAGACACCAATCACTTTTAGGAATTCAGTGTATTTCAACAACAGCCATTCATATCAGAGATTAATTAACACAATTAGAAATATCTGAAGTGATATAAGATGTAAATCATAAGCAATTTATTTTCTCTATCCGCTTGTGAAGTAGGTTGCCTGTTGCTTGTAGCTGCTGTTTTAAACAGGGTTACATCTACAACAACCTGTGAATCATCTCTCACTGTGAATTCCAGTTCCTTTTATGCACTTTGTGAAAATAACACATGTAAATAACTACTGAATTCTCCAAAAAAGAAGTTATGAACTGTGAGATTCCTTAGTTAAATGTAGTTTCACTGTGAATGCATTCACACTTAGTACAAATTTCTCAGTTTAAACTCACCAGTGAGCTCTGAGCCATTGTCCACAACAAAACTGTCAACAATACCAGTCTGTGGCAGAAACCAATGTCGGAAATCCTCTTCTGAAAAAGTCGGTGCCAGATCAAACCTCGTCAAATACTGCGACAAAATGCAAATACATGTTAAAACTATATAACATTCTCAGAATTAAGCAACAGAACCAAGAATGACACATAAGAGACTGCTAAAGGTCTATTATCTCATATAGCACGTTCTTCAGTAGCAAACTACTACATTCCATTATTTTTAAGCATTCATACATTGTTCCTCTTGATTCATAGAAAATAACTTAAACCTACACATTCCACATAAATGTGATACAACTCAGGGTGCATAATGGAAAGTATAATTCCTGTTAATGAATATTATTAAAATAAATTTGTAATTAGCATAAACTTACATCAGCAGGAGGCATCTCTGTTTACTCATTAAAGTCTATTATCATGAACATCAAAATCATTACCAAAACCATCACTGCTCAAGGTCTCATGGTGAGTGGATGTGACAGTGCATATGCTCCTGCTGTGCTACATGCTAGTGTCTACAGTGTGTATCACTGATATTTTTGCTGGCTCTCATGGCCACAAGCAAGGACCAGCAATCTCAGGTTTGTGATTCAGGTAATCTCTCCCTACAATTATTCCAGTGTGCTGCAGGGCTCTGTCCTGGGGCCTTCACCCTTCTATGTATTCATTAATTACTTATGTAACTCCATCACAGTAAAATTTTAATCTCTGCTAATGAAGTAAAAATTTTCAAAGTCATTAACTCACCCCATGACTGCTTCCTACTTGAATCTGACATTAATTCTGTAAATGGTGCACTGCTAACTTCATGAAACTAAACATCTATAAAACACGTGTCATGTCTTACTCTAGTAAAAATAATCTTCTGAATTATGAATATCAGATCTGTCATGCTGCCATTACCTGCAGCAACACTATTATGGATCCTTGTGCTTTCTCTGACTCAAAATCATTCTTCCACAATCATGCTGCTGTTGTATTTTCAGAATATATCAACTTGCTGGGCCTTCTTTACTTCATTACCTTCAGATTTTACCTGTGCTTGTCTGTATGTGACATATCATATGTTACTCATATCAAAGTCAGATTATACCTAAGCAGTTTGGAACTCTATCACATCTATGGACGCCAACTAGCTTGAGAGCATCCAGCACAAGTTTGTGTCTGTTTGTTTCTATCACTTTCCCCTCAAGTGCCCTACTGTTATACTTTTACTTTAGATGATTTAAGCTTACACTCTCTGCATGAACAGAGACATAATCTTGATACATTTTTCTTTGTTCAGGTTTACTGTGACCTCAAATCCTGCCCTTCTGTTGGAAAATGTTAGTCTTTGTGTCCCCACTTGCTAGGTCAGAGATCTGTTTGTACCTCAGTTCAACACTCTCTTTCTGCTCAGTGTGCCCATGCTGCCAAGGTGGTTGGTAAATACATGTCAACTCTCATACCACCTTATTGTCTTCTGGTTATGTTCTTAATGTCTTTGCACTTTCTAAGCCAAGGTAGAAATAGTAGTACTGTATCTCTTGAGAGAGAGGGAGAGAGAGAGAGAGTGTGTGTGTGTGTGTGTGTGTGTGCATGCGCGTATTTCACCTACCAGTTAGCATGTACGCTTTTGTCTTAATTACCAGCATCTACATTGTGCTGCTTCTGTAACTGACCTAGTAGCTGTTGACTTGGCACATAAATAATAAAGAAATTAATAATTATTGTTGTAATTATTATTAATACTGAACTATAATATAGTCTATCCAACAACACAAATTAAGTTTTACCTCGGCAACAAGTTTGTGTGCTCGGGGGAGGTCAGCAGCAACCATTTTGCGGAAGCCAGGTGTCCGCGTTTTCTCTGGAAGCTTATAAAGTTTCAGTGTACGTTGCATGGTCATGTTACGACTTAAATGTGAGAATTTTACTTCAATCAACTTCTTGGGGTTCAATGAACGATGCCAGTACCTAAAGGTGATATAGCCAATAAATCCACATCAAAACAAAACTAAAGAAAAGTCACAAACACAGAAATTAAACTGAATGACAGTATGTCAATAACTTGAGAACTGATTCTCCAAAAATTCATGAAAATGGCTGATTCATTATGCTAACATTGTTAGATACTATTCACCATCTGAGGTACACTTGGTTTTTATGATTCCTGTCTTCAGAGCCAACTCCTGAAATGTCATGTATATCAAATACAGCTAAGACAACACAGTTCAACAAACATGAAAATAGCAGAACCCTCATTCTATGTTTTTCCTCAGTTAACACCAAATTTCAACAAACCTGTTCACAATATCAATGAAATTTACCTCATTTTAAGGAGGTTCAACTGGGTTCAAGTCCACTACTCCGAAAAGACACTTCATAAATTTTAAGTAACAAATATATTTGATTTTTTGTCATAAGTTACACTATAGGCATGTCAATTCCATTAACAGTTTGAATCCTGAACACCAACTAGACAACAGTGGCATCTGCCTTTTGCTTGAGTGGCTTAATAATTTTCACGAAGCTACAAGATAAGTGCATCGTATAATGAACGCAGTCGACTGAGTGAAGCAATGGTTTCATTTAACACACATTAAATTCTGAAGTTTTCAGAATATAAAAGTGCATCTTGATTCTGTGTTCACAGTCTTCAACATGCAGGATTTTTTAAAACAATATGGGAGATCATATTTTTTGTACCTTGAGAAACACTCATAATTTAGGCAGCATTTTCTAGTGGGGAAGAAAAAGGTAATTTTCTATTCTCTAACTTTGCTGCAGTTAGAACATATATTAGTTGCATTTACTGGGTTTCAGGTTATAGACCACAAGCCACTATCTTCTATTACTCATTGCACCTGAACTGCAGTTGCATACTCTTTCTGATTTTCTAGCTAAGAAATAAATCAAATCAAGTTCAGCCATTAGCATTAGCAAATTATACAATGTGTTGGAACTGAATTTTATTACAGCAATAAAACCGTAAAAGACGTGAAAACCCTTAGAGCCTAGAGCTGTTAAGAATTATATCTTATGAATTAAAAATTAATATATGAATTTCAGAAATGCAGTCTCTAAAAACTGTTGCCTCTTAATATCAGGGAAGTACCATAAAGTTTAATGCAAATATCCTGTGGAACATAATCATCCAGAATTTCACTACCACATGTTTTATAGGCCCTTCAATTAACATTAACACATTGTTCATTACTGCAGCTAGACTGAATCATATTTCTCAAATATGAAATCAAGTTTCTTTCTAAAACCTAAAGGACTCCTTGTATGTAGGTTAGGACCTTTTACATAACTTAGTGCCTGGAAGTCAGAACCTTTGTCTTCACTCTGACAACGGACAACTACGCAAGGAATTTGTTATTGGGTTAATGTAAAGTGCGGATCCAGTCAGTGGTACTACCAGCAGAGCTCAGCCGATCTGCAAAGAGTACCATAAAATGGTCTAACAGAGCTGTAATAAAATCATGAAATGCATAGTTTAGTTCTCTGAGGATTACATCACAAAGCCTTAGAGAGAAATTAAAATCTAGGGAAGGACTTACAAGTTGTATAACACATTCCAAATGTTGATGAGGTTTAGAGCTTCTTTCACAAGCTTATGCATAGAGAACTTCAATATAAGTGATAGTAGCTGGTACACTATTTCATTTTGGTAAGTAAAAAACTGCCATCAAATGTACCAAATTTTTAATAGTTAAACAATAATACAGCCTATGATTGATGTTCTCACCTCAACTGGTCATCTTCATGGGCAACCAACACCAATAACAAGTTTACATATCTTACAAGGTGGTTCAAATATGACTGGGACTGATTTTTTTAAAAGCCATAATTGCCAAACACTTACTTGCACATGTCAGTCTTCAACGTACTCACCTCCGGAGTCAACACATTTTTTCCAACATTCTGGAAGCATCCTGATGCCCTTTTCAATAAAGGCTTGTGGTTGGCGGTGTATCCACTCCCGAACAGTCTGGATGACGGTGTCGTCCACAAACTGCATGCCTTACAAGTCTGATTTGAGCCTTCCAAACAGGTAGAAATCACTTGGGGCCAAATCGGGACTGTACGGCGGATGTGTCAGAAGGTTCCATTTCAATTTCTGGAGGGTTTCCATTGTTGTTTTCGCCATATGGAGGCGTGCATTGTCTTGAAGGAAGGCTACCCACTTTCCACCTGTCTTCCGCTTGGATCGATGCTTTTCCTTCATGTCTGTTGCCAGGAGGTCTGAGTAATAAGCTGCATTAACTGTTCTGGCATCTGTCAGAAAGCCTACATGGATAACCCCCTGCCAGTCCCAGAAGAACGTTGCCATCACTTTTCCTGCCGAAAGGCTCTCCAGGCTCTCTTGGGTTTGGGAGAACTGGTATGCCGCCACTCACGTGATGACTCCTGGGACTCAGGAATGAAGTAGTGCACCCATGTGGTCACTACAGACTTCAAAAATGCATCACCATTTTGTTCACGTCCGTCAAAGTGCGTGGTACCCACCGTGCATTCACCTTGCGATAGTGCAGGTGGTATTTCATGATGTCTTCTACATTACCAACACTGATGGACATCATTGCTCCAAGTTCCTTGACAGTGATGCGCCTATTCTCATGAATAAGCGTGTCTGCACGATCAAGGTTTGGCTCGGTCACGGATGTTTGCAGCCAACAATCATGTGGTTCATTCTCCACCTGCTCTCTGCCCTCTCTGAAGCACTTACATTACTGAAACACACGGGTCCATGAGAGACACTCTTCCCCATACTGTTGTTGGAGTCTGTGGTGAATTTCAGTGGATGGGATGTTTTCTCTGAGGAATTTGATCACAATGCGTTGTTCCGCGCTCCGCGGTACTTCTGTTCGCCCATCACTCTAACAACTCCCAGACAGGACTGAACAGGTTCTAACCCAAATAGGAGTGAGGGTGGAGGCTGTGGCTTCACTCTGTCAAGGTCACACAGCTGCTGCGCAGTGTGGCTTGTTTACACACAAATCAGTCCTGGTCATATTTGAACCACCTTGTGCTTAAAATATCTAAGTTATTTATATTGAATCTAATTGCAAATCCTTAGAACATTTAAAATCAGTAATGTACTGAAGTTCAAGGATGGATGACAGATGCTTTTTATGCATCTTGACATCGTAATGCTGAAGGTTCGGTTTTGTACAAGGGCTACTGGGAAAGTAACCTCAGGAGAGCCATTTAAAAAAACATGCACAGAGAAAAAACTATTATATACAAGAAAATATGTACATACTTAAGTTACTTCTCAATGTAGTCACCACCAGAATTGAAGCACATATATCAGGGAATAAGTTTCTGTATGACTGTGAAAAAGAAGTCTGCCGCCTGTGAGCTCAGCCATGTTTCAATACCTTCCATCAACTCATTATTTCTGAAACGCTGTGATCCCAACTTGGGTCCCTGTCACCATGGCATGGAGCGTCCTCAGGTTGCTGATGGAGGATACACCCTCCAGTTTTGGAGGGAAGCTGCGAATATATTGAATAAGCAGTCACGGACAGCCGACAAGAGGTGGTCCTCCAGCTTTGGGGTTGGGCATGGGGCTCACAACTCATCGTAAAAAATCATTATGTTACGAAAATGAACACGAAGCCTTGGACCTGAACATATTCTTTGGATACACGACCTAAGGAATGGGAGAGACGAGGAATGCGTAGAGGATATTGGTGGGAAAGCCAGAAGGAAAGAGACCACAGGGAAGACCAAGGCATAGGTGGGTGGACAATATTAGAATGGATCTTAAAGAGATACGATGGGATGGGATGGATTGGATAAATCTGGCTCAGGACAGGGACCAGTGGAGGGTTCTTGTGAGCACTGTAATGAACCTTCAGGTTCCATAAAATGCTGGGAAACTCTTGAGTAGCTGCAGAATTGGCTGCTCCTCCAGAAGGGCTCAGCTCCATGAGTAAGTAAGTAAGTGATCCCAACTAGTGCTTCAGGTAGGTAAACAGGTTGTAGCTGCTCAAAGGGAGTTCAGGGCTGTAAGGAGAATGGTCAAATAACTCCCAGTTGAGAAGCTGCAGCAGTGCTCGAGTGTGAGCAACTGTACGCAGATGTGCATTTTTATGCAGGAGCATCACATTGTTATGTCAGCATCTCATACCTTTTGTTCTGAATGGCTGGCCCTACTCAGTTTTCTTAGTGTTTTGCAATACACTTCTGACTTCATTTGATTCCCTGTTGCATGAATTCCACCATCACCACTTTGTCCATGTCCCAGAAAAGTTGCCATCAGCTTTCTGGCAGGCAGATGTTTGTTTAAAACTTTTTTGGCATGTCTGGTGAATATCCACCACTTTCACTGCTCTTTGGTTTCAACATTCACAAACAAAACCGAGGTTTCATCACCTGTTACTTGTACAATGTGGCTGAGAAATTCATTGCCATCTTTGAGGTACCATTCTAATAAAGTCAAAGCCAAAGCCATTCTCTGCATTTTGTGTGCACTGATGAGCATTTTTTGAACCCATTTTGTGGAATACTTGTGTTAGCCTAGCCTAACTGTGATCATCTCATAGTGAACAGTGCATGAATTGTGGAAATTCACACAAAAGTTCTGAAATTGTGAAGTGCCATCTTTCACGTAATTTTTGGTCAACACTGTGAACAAGACTCACTGCAGATGGCCAACCACTTCACTCTTCTTTGTCAACATCTGTTCACCTGCCCATCTTTGAACATTCTACACCACTGTCTTACAGTTCCTTACATTTTAGCTGTAAACTGTGCATAATTCATGATGGATTTCCATAGCACTGATGTTTCTAGCATGAAGTGAACAACAGTGTGAATTTCATAGCTGGTGGAATTATCAATCACAGGACACATCATAACTTACTCGGTAGAGACAAGAAGAAACATTAGGTGACCGGTTATGTGATGGCTTACATGGCAATGAGTCATGTAACACTACTTTGCATGCACGATCTCTCTCCTGTTCCTACATTAGTTGCCTAAAATAAACAGAGGTTACCTTCCAAGTAACCTTCAGATGATAGGCTCTTGATCATCTTTGAAATGTCTATCTGATAGTGACTTTGGCATTTTTGTAGTGGCCTACACAAGTAGAACTGTTGATGCAGCCTTTTTTTTTTTTTTTGTAATATTGGAAATTAGTAATATGCTGAAGTCCAATGACAGATGAAGGCATGTTTCCTTTAGTATTGGTTACTCCTGAAGATAGCCGACTGAGGACAAAAATGTCAGGCTGTATGATTATTTAATCACTAAAAAATTTTATGGCAATTTATACTTATCTTAACACAAGCAGCAGTACTTGGTACACTTCTATATTGCCCCATTCAATGTCCTCATAAATATGAAACACAAAAATTTTCCTACCCATAGAAATGTTGAACAGCTATTTACAAAAGAACACAAATCTCAGCAGAATACTATCAGTTTTATTCACTGCAGTCATAATTCTTACCTACAAGTCCCAACAGGTTTAGGCAGAACAACACCCGCAGTATACACAGCTTGAAATATGCCAGTAAGATTTACCCTGCGAGTAATTTCTCGAATCAATACAGGAGCTACTCTCTTTGAACGAAGCTTTTTGTGCACACACAAGAAGTTGATTTCCACCATCTTCTGTGAACTACATTCAAAATACACACACATGAAAGTAGTAATTAAACAATGGCTTAGTATAATACACACACAGATGTATTTACTATGGGTTAATTTTGTTGAAACAAAAATTTGGCTACTAGTATTTATACACAATTCATGTGTTTTCTTCCAACTTCAGATGCTAAATGCAGAAGTCCAATGCAGCAAGTACAGCCTAAAACAAATATTTTGTTCTAGGGAGCATTTTCTTATTCACTGATTCAATTATGTTATGCACAGCAAGAGTCATCAATTTAATGAGAATGCTTTTTTTCTGTTCAGAATTTTCAGTATAATGAGAACTTTCTCTCCTTTCTGGATTCATAAAAATGTACATTATACGTATAACATGACCTTAGCAACTAATATTACTCTTCAAGAGTCAAATGAACACTTCTGGAAAACAACATTCTTGTGTCTTGACTCATTACAAACATGAATGGTGAGAGAAACACAATAATAGCCTCCATTCCCAACCCTCTCAATACATGCATGAGAGAGCAGTTGTCAATACATCACAGGAAATAACAAAGTTTTCAGAAGTTTCTTTTATGAATGGATATATGTGGCCTGGTGCAGTTGCATCATTCACGCCCTGTACAGCCAGCCTGGGCTGTTCCATTCCCTTCAAGATTCAAAAACAGTATTCAGCAGAGTCACAAAGACCGATGAATGCACAGGATAAGACAATGAAGAGAGAGGTGAGAGTCACTTTGCCACCTGGAAACACCTCATAATGTTATACTGCACTTTCATGTACAGGCATCATACCGTCTGCATGTTGGGAGTTAGTGCACCATACTACTGTTACCTTCACCTTCACCTCATAGTCCCTAGTTACAAAGGATAAATCTTGGAGTTTCTGTGAGAATGGTCCAACGATGGTGTGAAAGAACAGGTATTTCCATCAATCCCAATAAGATGGTAATTATACCGTTTACTGGGAAGAGAAATATAAAGGGTCTTAAGGAACCAACTCTCTTCAATAAGACCATCCAGCTCTCCAGCGATGTCATGTACCTTGGTCTAGAATTAGACAAGGGACTGACATGGAAAAAGCAGCTGGACAAAGTCATTAACAAAGCCTATAAGGCTTTTTGGACATGCAGAAGCATGTTTGGTAAAACTTGGGGACTGCAGCCACACGTTATACATTTGATATATACTGCGGTTGTGAGACCCATAATTACTTATGGTGCCACAATATGGTGGCCCAGAGTTAAACTCAAGACAAGCAAGACAGAACTTAGCAAATTGCAAAGGTTGGCTTGCTTAGGTATCACAGGAGCATTTCGAACATCTCCAACACCAGCACTGGAGATACGCCTTGGACTCCCCCCACTGCATATATAGTTGGAGGCAGAGGCCAGGGCAGGAATTTACCGTCTCCAGTGCAGTGAACAATGGAAACCTAGATCCGATGGTTTCGGCCATGCATACATAACTCAGGACATGAAAAAAGAACCCATATTACAAATGGGGTCTGACAAAATGATACTGAGACATGTATATGAAAAACCCTTCACAGTTAGATTTCCTGACAGGAGTGAATGGGAAGACGGGTTTCGGCCCGATAGAAAAGGGGGACTGATCTGGTATACAGATGGTTCTAAGATAAATAAGGGCACTGGAGGTGGTGTGTACTGCCATGGCAGGAGGCAGAAACTTAGTTTCAGCCTTGAGCAGTACACGACAGTATTCTAGGCAGAAGTTTATGCCATTAAGGCATGTATTATGGAGAATTTAGATAGGAACTATAGAAATAGGAACATCTACATTCTATCTGACAGCCAAGCTGCACTTAAAGTGCTTGACAAACACCAGATCAATTCAAAATTAGTCTGGGATTGCCACCAAACTCTCATGGAACTGGGCAAACATAAAAGGGTACAACTGATATGGGTGCCGGGGCATGAGGTTATTGCTGGAAATGAAATAGCAGACCAATTAGCTAAAATTGGAGCTGAACATCTGTTCATAGGATCTGGACCAGCCTGTGACATCTCTATAGGAGTTTCCAAACAGGCAATCAGGGACTGGACTAACATAAAACATAAGAAATACTGGGGATCCTTAACTGGACTCAGGCAAGCAAAGGGACTCATACGAGGATCTTCCATTAAAAGAGCGAATGAACTGTTGAAGTTAAAACAGGAACCAGCTACGATGGGTGGTAGGACTACTTACAAGACACTCTCACCTCAAAGGACACCTGCTCAAACTGGGACTAAGTGATAGTCCCACTTGTGAGAGGTGTCAGACAGAAAACGAGACAGCCTCACATATCCTGTGTGAATGTGAGGCCTTAGCTTATTTAAGACTACGTCACTTGGGTCAATACTTTATGGAACCAATTGATTATTTTGACGCCCCCACATCCAAAATCATGCACTTCATTTGAAGCGTGGAGTTGCTGAGGGAATAATTAAAAAAAACGGGAAGCACAATAGGCCATTGAGGTCACGGTGCAAGGGCCGAGAAGGCCTACCCCTCATACATTCATTCATTCATTCAGTGAGCATCCCACAGATAGCCACTGGATAGACAACTGTGATTTAATTTAACGTCTATGTGAAGGGTACTCACCAGCTAGTCCATATAGCAATCCTAGTGATTACTCTGATGCTTTTTAATAGATGTGTAAATGAAGAGTATTTAACTTTACTTTTAACACAAGCTTTACATCCAGTGAAAACTCCTCATGTAAAGAGAGATTTGTGTGCATTTACACCTTTACCAACCTCTACTTATCGTTATTTGCAATGAAGCAGCACATTAGATTGTACATGCCATCCAATTTCTTGCAAGAACAATAGCAGCAAGCCTATGGGCCTTCATGGTCTGTTACAGGGATACTTGTTTTTATTCTTTTTAGCTTTTACCATAATTATTTACTGCAAAATGAAACTCCATTATGCAATCTTCCCTCCATGCCAATTACACAGACATTTTGACACAAGTGTTAATGAGATGCTGAAGTTCTTATGGCCTTAACAAAATAGAAATATCTGTGGCATTACACAGGCTACAGACTTGAGAACATTTCAAAGCACTGTAACTCATACACCATCAAAACCTCTTCTGTTTCATTTGGACTGCTTAAATAAACCGTGAAAACTGCATAATTTATGCCACAAACACAACCTACTTTTTAATGTAATTTAAAAATAAAAATGTACTAATAAAAATTAACGAAATACGGATGAAGCATATATTTTCATGTAATTTCATTAATTTATTTTTGTCCTCAAAATAATTAAAAAGGTTGGTCCTTCCCTTGCATCACATCAGAGCACCTTTCTTTTCCAAGTAGCAACATAAATGATGCAGTAATTGTGTCTGGAGAAATTATGACAGCAATTATGTCATTAATACCTTACCAGGCATTTTCCTTGAATAATAATTATACAGGGTGTCCCAGGAGGAATGTGCCAAACTTCGGGAGGGTGTTCCTTATGTTAAAGTATGCCGATATAACCCAAAACACCTGTAACATCAAACTAACTTGTGAGTGACATGAAGCCGTTAAATTGAACTACGAAAAACTCGCACGCCATGTCAAAGTTGTCGTTAGGAGTTCCAAGCACTATACATGACACATGAATGGCAATCACTGACGTAACATTGCTGACTGTGCGTTCTGGTATGCGAGTGTATGGGGCTAACGTGAGCTGCCATCACCACACTCAAGGACAAACGTAGATAAGACATGCCAGCTGACAGGTGCGGTGCGTGGACTCGCCAGGCCATTATCTCCGTAACCATTCAACTTTGGACATGGGTGTTTTGGGTTATATCAGCATATTATAACATACGGAACACCCTCCCGAAGTTTGGCATATTCCTCCTGGGACACCCTGTATGTGCTGTACAAACAATATAGCAATCCATTTGCATCCAAAAGTATCAAATACAAAAAATAATCGATATTACTTTTACTGATGAGAAACGTAACTCACTGGTTATATATTCTAAGTGTAGCAGGGATGGCACTGATAAAACCTACAAGTCGGCAGTTCTTAATCACACGAACACCGCAGTGCCAATCTTGACGCCATCCAGGAGGTTGGAGTGCCCTGTCAACAAGACATCAGCATCAGAATATACAATACCAGTTTTCCAAGCATCTATTCTAATATTATTCACAAAGAATATAATATTTTGTATGTTTATGTAGTGTTTATGTAATGACTCATGGTCATTTTCATATTTCCTGACACGTGAGACTGACTTATACTGATATGATACAACATCAATAAGGTTCAAAGTGCACTTAATATTTAAATACTTATTAACCATATCACAAGTCATTTTAATACTTTCAATATTAGATGACAAAGGTCCCTGATTATATATTTCCTTGCACCATTAGCACAGATTTTTGCCTGTACTGCTGGTGAGAAGACAACACAAGCATGGATGATTGATCTAACAAAAGTTTGCATTCACAATTTGCAACTTCTGTATTGCCAGTCTAATTGATTATGGGACTATAAACTTTAGGAATGGTAGCATGTCACCCCCCCCCCAAAAAAAAAGATAGAAGGGCGGTGGTGGTGGTGGTGGTGGTGATAAGGAGGAGGAGGATAGAGAACTGTAGGTTCCTGTTTTCAACTTTTTGTAATTTTGGGTCATTACCACTTAAGAAACTCTGGAGGATAATCGAAGCGGAACATGGAATCATCATCTTCCACATAGTTTTCATTCAGCAGCATGTACAGCTCCTTCAACACAAGAGGTTCATCAAGATTCAATGTATCCCACTGGAAGCCAACAGGTAGTGAATAGGGTTCCGCACGAATCTCCAACGTACCCTTCACAGGTTCAATTGGTTCATTACATGTTATCTTCTCATCTGCAGAAAGCATATTATAATTTAGTCACAGTTTCACTTCCAGATGGCCAAATAAATTGAGTCCTAAAAGAAAATCTCAAGAAGTCTCTACCAGTGAGGAACCAGAAGTTTCAGAGTAACTGCTTTGTAATATCATGCTCATAATCAACAAAAACAATTACACTGAAATTTTGCTGCCTACATTAATATTAACAAGGTCACATTACACTGTATCAACAAAATAACACCACAACCTGATATTTCAGTACCAATAATATCAAAGCTTGCCACTGGATATGATTCTTGCAAGTTTCATCCACATTCTATTCTCACAACCTATCTCCACAAGATTCGTCTATATATTAACTTCCGCCTTCCTTCTTGAACTTAGAAACTGATGCTTCCCCACCAAAATTCTGCATGCATTCATCTCTCCCATTCCCAGATATATCATAACATTATAACTCAATGATGATGATGATTCTCTATTATTTATGTGCTAAGTCAACAGCTACAATAAAAAAGCTAATGAAAGAAAAATAATATCAGCAGAAAGGCTGTTCATTAGGATGAATGCAGGATATGCCATTTTGAACTGTATGAAGAAATTATGACAGAACTACAGTTTGCAAATAACAGAATTTGTAGAACAAAGAACAAGACTGGCTCTGAGAAGATTCAGAAAAAAAGATTCTAAACTACAAACCAAAAGGAAAATGAAGCCTGTGAAGACATCTGAAACAAGAGAAGGATTGTGTTTTGTAAGATCTGTAACAGATCCTGACATTCCTAACACTTAAAAAGATGATGATACTGAAATTAAATTACTTTGATATTTGTCAATGTACAATTCTAGTGTCATCAGAATGCAATCAGTTCTCAAGATGATGCTCAGCCATACATGCTTTAATTGTATGTACATTATGCAAAGAATGTATAAGTACACTTCTGGTACAATAAAAGGTCTCTCAAGACAGACTCTGGACAATATATTTATTTTAAAAAGTATCGACAGAACTGGAGAATGGATTAATAGCCACTTAGGTGATTAACACAGTGATGCCAAATAAAGATTCAGTTAATTTGCTTACCATGTTCATTAATTTATTCTCGCATAACAGTGTAAACTTTTTTAATCCATTTCAAATGGTTACTTATTATTGAAACTAGTTTTACAAAACTGGTCACTTCTTAATATGTTTTACTTTCAGCAAGTCTTGACAGAAATCATGTAAACTAGAAAGGCAATATCACTCACCCATTTTGGGAACTGGTTGAGTGTTCCAAAACTGATATTGTTTTTGAAGAGCCTCTTCTGTTGTCTTGGCTGGTTTCTGTTGGAATGACAAAACCTCCACGGCTTTCCGGATGTCCTGAAGTTTTTATATACATAATACAGTTTTAGAAATAGTTAATATATTTAATATTATTAGCATACTATATTTGTACTTGTCATCTGTGTAAATATGGTGCCACTGCCAGTTTTAATTTGTTACAATTCATAAATATTGTTCTGTTAACAACAAGTGGTTTCAGTTTAAGATTAACGTTTCTTATGACAACATTTAAATTCACAATGATCATGTCTGGATGCTCTCTCCATAGATGATTGAATCAGCAAAGGTACTGTCTTTAGACCAATGTATCACACTGATAATTCACAGTTAGTCATTTAATGTGCAGTGCATCTCCCATGACATTTATGTCGACAAGAAATGGGTGAACAATTGTACACTTCTGACACCTTAAGACTTTACACATAGAGGCCATGTGGCAGCTATGCCAGGGCACAGCATTTCCACTGGGCACACCCACTGCAGTGGTTGATGGCTTTCCTACTTGGGAGGTTATGTCAATGGTCAGACTGCAGCAACACTTCTGAATGGGAGGCCAATTTCAGAATCTGCCTTATGTATCAATATATGACATAGAGCTCATAATCCTCCTTGCATTCAGAGTGCATCAAATGCTAAATTTCACACCACGCAGTTGAATTTCTGGTACACAATCAGGGACTTCTGTATTTCAGTGTCTGTTTTCTGTATTCATGTGCACATTCAAATAAATCCAAGCCTCAACTGGAGAACTATGAATTCAGTATCAATTTTTCTATCACAAACTGAGGGAAAATGATAAGAGCCAGAGAAATTACTGAACCATGCAGCAAAATGATTTTGTAAGGCTTTAATAATTTTGCTGTGGGTCTTTTTCTTTTGATATTCCAATTTCTTGTACAAGGCACTTAAGAGGAATATGAGACAAGCGTTCAAGCTGAGCTCTAACAACATCCAAATGTTCTTGTGTTAATGGTCAACATGAATATTTTGATTTCTTGTCTGTTAACATATTAATTGTCCTTACTGAACTGACAAGATTTTAATACTGTTTGTTTGTGGAACATGAACCCCAGGAAACTTTCTTCTGCATTATCTCTGACATTTCCTAGCAGTCTTACAGTTCACATAACATTAATATACAGCACCAGATGGTCTAGTGTAAATTCATACATGTCCAACACAGAGGGAACCTTGCAAGACTGGAACAAAATCAGTGAAACTATGGCCTTACAACACCACACTTGTGCACTTTTTGTGGTGATGTAATCCAGTAATTTCTGCAATGGGTGTCTTCAATTAGCTCATTATTGTGAGCTTGATCCCAAGTTTGGTATTTTTCTTATAAGGCATGGTTTTATTTGACTGGAAATTCCAAAATACAAAAGAAAAAAAATATTACAACACAGGAAATGCACATCCAATACACAACATTCGACTGCATTATATGAAAACTGGTGTTTGGTGCATCCTAATTGTGAGGAGGCTTATGATCCCTATGTTTTATGCTTAATGAATTCTGAGACATGCTGCAGCCTAACCAAGTAAGAAACAGGTCAAGGGACATGGTGCTCACATATAGGAAAAGCCATACTATTACTCAACAAAGAAGTTTTTGAACACTGTGGAATTCATTCTGTAAATAGAACAGTTTACATTGCTACCAGTTTAACGTTACTAACTTGAAGAGATATATTGCATCCTGCCTGGATTTCCGCTTCATCCAACATCTTGTCGCCTCCTCCATGACCTTTCTTTCGACGATTTCTCTTCTTTGCACTATAGGAACAGTTATTAGATATTTAATTCAAGACCTATCATGGATGTGCAATTTAATATTGCAGGGCATGGTTATGTGTATTTTACGAAGACTGCAAGCCACTACAACCACAACACAAATGGAAGGTGTAACATAACTAACAGCATAAATGCCTATTTAACATCTGCTGCAACTTAAATAGCTGTTTCGGAAAAATGATCGCCGTACATGGTCATCAAAGAGAAAAGATATCGTAACACACATCAAAATACTCTTCTACCGCGAGACCTGTGCCGGAAAGACATCAATCTATTTCAATATTCTATCAGTCCATAACACCAAATAATTATTGTGAATTAGTATATAATAAGTGTGATCAGCTGACATATACCTCTTAGATTTTATTTCTTTCTCATTAACTTCCCCTTTATGAGATTCATTCTCATTCACTTCAGCCTTATCGTCCATTTTTACCAACAAACTCGAGAGTTCAAAATTGGAAGACTTAAAATCCACACACTACAAGCAGTTGCAATTTATCCTGAGTTCTACTCAGTCAGTTATATCGGTCATATCCTCATTCTATACCGTGTACTGTCAGTGTAAATAAAATCCAGCACCTTTGCAATATTTTTATTTTCGCACAACCGAAACTGTGTTTAGATCTAATCGCTTGACTATCTCTTTCCAGTGATATAGGTTCAGACGGTTCAGCCTGCTTCAGACATTAACTTTCCTTGATCATTGCCTGCTATGCGGTAGAACTTATACCGCCATGATGTGAGATTCAATATGGAGGTACAATTACATTTACAATCAATGGTGAGTGGTGCGCATGCGGGTTTAAAACTAGCTCTCCACTTGTCCACACCATCGAATAGTTAATACAACAGTCTCAAGGGGCGTTGTAATCAATACGCACGCATGACGTCAGAAGCAGACTGATATTTCACAGCAGCAGTTCAACAATATTGTTTGACAATCGGAGAACAAACGCACATTCTTATTTATTAATACTTCTTCTTTTGCGGTTATTGACTTTATAACGTCTGAATACTTGATCCACTATTAGTGATGGCAAACAAATCGCCCGTTGACGAAGGACGCTACATTTTGGAAGGACAAAAGGGGAATCAACAGGTAAATTAAGAAAGTCTTACTATTTTTTTTTTTAAGTCCTACTCTTGGATTTTGACCACGGATAGTGAATTCATTTTAGGATCAGTACAGAAAAATAAGTTTTAAACATCTCTGTAGGCGACAAACCTCATCGAGCAACCGATTTAAAATTTGCAAATTTTCACAATTTGCTTCTAAAAATTGCTATAAAATTGTAAATTGTTTTCAAGTTATGGTGTAATATTGACTAAACGTTTGACATTCAAACATTATTTTGTTGCTGAGGTTTTCTTTATTTGCAAACAACGTCAACGAGGCATTTGTAATTCCTTTCAGTATTTCCGACTGGCGAGTGGTCTGGAACTACCGCGAGTAAAATAATTACACATTGCTTGCGACAGTAACAGTGGCGTCATTGTAACTGCTAAACATAATATTCACTCATACAAATTATACTTTTTACCTTTGAATTATTGCACTATGGATTCAATTTAAATGACGATATTTGAATATAGCCTCGCTTACTACCATATATGCTTAAAATGAATTTCACAATTAAAACAGTAATGTGGCCGACGAATTTAGAAGTCTAGCATTCGTCCACCCGAAAAAAGTATTCTATTCCATGGGACCTAATATAATTAAAATATATAGCTAATAAGTATATAATTTTAATTATATAGCTAATAATACACAGCGTGATTTGGACAGAACATTCCCTAAATTTATTCATACAAGTGATTGTAGAAATAATCTAAAATAGAATCTCTGGAAATCCATAAAAAAATTCCAACGATGGCTCAAGGTTTTTAGAATATCGTACGTTCCTGTTGAAGAATTAATTAATAAAAATTACAATTTTTCTCAAATTTATATATGCAGGTTGGAGAAAAATGCATAATGAGGAGCTTCATAACTTGTACTCTTCTCCAAGTATAATTAGAATGATCAAGTCAAGGCGAATGAGGTGGGCATGGCATGTAGCACGAATGGGGGAGACGAGGAATGCGTATAGGATATTGATGGGAAAGCCAGAAGGAAAGAGACCACTGGGAAGACCAAGGCGTAGGTGGGTTGACAATATTAAAATGAATTTTATAGAGACAGGATGGGATGGTGTGGATTGGATTGATCTGGCTCAGGATAGGGACCAGTGGAGGGCTCTTGTGAACACGGTAATGAACCTTCGGGTTCCATAAAATGCTGGGAAACTCTTGAGTAGCTGCAGAATTGGCGGCTCCTCCAGAAGGGCTCAGCTCCATGAGTAAGTAAGTAAGTAAGTTTCATATATTCATAATATTTTCGAAAACATGAAAACTAATGTCAGTGTTCGAAAGAACGACTATTTGCGAAAGTAGGAACATTTGAAAAGTAACGAAGCTTAGGGATATGCTATTCTTTACTACGTGTCACGTAGTACACGTAGTAAAAAATAGCAGCGGCACGCACACAGGGAGACTACACAAAATAACACCTGTACAGTGCTGGAAATAAGAACTAGCCGCTGCAGCACTATAGACATAGGGCGAGTAACTCTGACAATTTTAAATTTTTAAAATTTAGAGAAAAATTTTAAAGGATTTTAAAATTAGAACTAAAGATTTTATAAGTGCTAACGTGTGTAACGAAAATAATCAATAAATCAGACAGATATCAACGAAGTAGATGTTGATAATAACAGCGAAAGGAACAATGTGTTTTTTAAATGTTAAATTTTAAACTAAGGGCGAAACATGTAGTGTAAAGGAGAGCAAGATCAAGGACATATAATATATTGTTTCACTTAGGACTGAGTTCATATCATTTATCATATAGAGTGCAACAGGATGCTTAAATATAATATTGATATGTGGAGTATTTCAGATCCTCATACATACTTTTAATGTTGAGAGTTAGCATGAAGACGAAGAAAATTTGCGAAACTGAACATTTTCAAGAAAACTAAGACTTTTGAAGTTATGAAAAGTGACATGGCATCAATTTATATGAACAAAAATTCTGGAAATATGATGAATTCAAATTCTCCAAGCTGCTTAACGTACGCAAAGTATTCCGATAATTTGACGTTTGGGATATCCGAGAAAATTTAGAAGACAAGTTCAAAATAATCATAAAATATATAAATATGAGAAATGGAAAGTAATTGAAACTAAAAAGTTTATTAATTATAATTTAGTTACAACGTTACGTTAACATCAAATGGTAAAATGCAAAGCTGTCCCTGTGCTTAATTAAGCACCATGTCATGAAGACATATGGGGGAGTGGAGGTATGGTTCCGCCAATCTTGGCCTCGGCACTAGATGGAAGTGAGGGGGTCAGCTGCGTGCCGCGGCCGCTTTACCCACGATACCATTTGAATGGTAGGCTCCAGAGTCGGTACGGACGATGTGGAGATGAGAAAAGTCTTGCCATGCCGCGAATCGAACCCTGGCCGTCCAGCCCGCCGCCATACCGACTGAGTTATCCCGGCTCCTTACGTTAATATATCTTAATAAGTCTCGAGAACTTCTCTGCGCAGGTGGATACGCCGATGAATGCGCAATGACCTACTGCGCACACCTAATCTGACAACCTAAATTAACCTAACCTAACCAAACCCTATCTGACACGATCTGACAGGTCTGTATGAATTGTGGGTGGGGGCTGGATGCGCAGAATGGTGGACAGCAATCTACTGCCCAAATTTGTTTTGGCAACCTAACCTTACATAACCAAAACCAAGCCGATCCCTCGAGCCCGAATAAGTGAAGCTGTGGCTAAGGTAACACCAAAATGCTTCAAGCAACGTGGAACGAGGTCGAATATCGTCTGGATATACGAGTATGTCGTGCCACCAAGTGAGCCCACATTTAAATGTATTGAGAAAACTATATACTCGGAAAAAAAAAACTTTGATAGCTCCCCTTCGTAATGGTGTAACCACTGTAACCCGTATATGTGTATAATACATGCTCTCTGAGGTATAATTATTTTATTTTGGATACATTTCATCCGGACATTCTGTACTTGTTTTCACGTATATCCGATCTCACAGCCACCGGATACAAGCAGTTCAGTTACTGGTAGCTGACGGAAACCAGCATGAGCTGGTTTGAGTGCATCTCTCGCTGAATCACTTGTGTGTGTCAACAGCCGCATCTTGAGGTACGGCATTCTATGATATGGATTTGTATCTAATTATGAACTCAATCTAAACATGACGGATATCATTCTCTGATACTTTAGGACACATAAGTGCAATTAGTTTCTTACTAATATTCGCCCTATGAAACGTGCATTATGAGGGAGATGTTCCGTTCCTCGCGTTTCATTTCTCAGACACTTATGAATGGAAGGTGGTTGGGTAAATCTACAATAAACGCATATCATATGCTGCTCGAACACTGGGATCAAGGGTTCGAAACTAGCTGGAAGTATGGATATTTGTCCAATATTTTTTTTTTATGATTGAGGCACTATATTACAACCTGGAAGATCGCGGGTTCGATTCCCGATGGAGTAATCATTCCAGCCGCACTATGGCCCAGGGGTCGACTCAACCTCTAACAGAAATAAGTACCGGGAATTTTCCTGGGGGTAAAGGGCGGCCGGCGAGTAAGCCTGACAATCTCACCGCCATCTGTGAGTCGATTTTCTGGAGAAAATGTTGGAGCCTCGACGTCTCACAGCCCTATGGGCTTCCACGGCCTATTACAGGGATAGTTTTACATTTTTTATAGGCTTTGCGATGCGTTGGTCACACCCTGCTATCCAGAGCCATACTTTGCTGTATCAATGATTTAGTATAACAACACAGCTCGGAACATCAACAAGACGACACTAAAGAAATCTATTCTCCAAACGACGAACCACAGTGCGGTGGATGGTAGGCTACCTTCTGGGAGAGGAAATAGAATGGCCCCGAATCAATTTGGTTTAAAAATTTTAATAGAAAACTTTTTTAAACATGCTAAGTAAAAGTAAAGCTATCCCTGTACCAGGCCATGAAGGCCCATAGGGTTGTGAGACGTTGAGGGTCCCACATTATCTAGACAATCGGCTCAAAGATGGCGGTAAGGTTGTCAGCCTTCCGCGCCGGTCGCGCTTTACTCCCCAGGAAAATTATTTAATTAACTCCTGGTACTCATTTCTGTTAGAGGCTGAGTCGGCCCCAGGGCCATAGTGCGGCTGGAAGGATTAGGTCAATTGAAAAAATCCAATGACCTCATCGGGACTCGAACCCGCGACCTTCCGGCTTGTAGCATAGTGCCTCAACCAACTACGCTACCACGTGTTAAGTGTAATAAATATTTTAACGTGTTGGTACAAGCCGCTGTAGTTGTCAACAACTTTAGATTTGTACATTGTATTATGATGATTGATGACATTGTATGTATAATATATCAATATTCACAAAACATATTGTAATAATGGTTCTTAATTGTATTGATATCCTTCTGAAGATGGACTATAGGGCCGAAACATATAAAGGATAAAAGATTAAAAAGAAAAAATCATCAGCCATACTGGACGGAATTAACGTTTTGTAATATTGATAGTGTGCCAGACCAGAATGAAACAAATCAAATTTAGAACATCAGTATAATATATATGGTTCTGGTCCTAATATAACTACGCAACCAAAAAGGAATTTTAATAATAGCAGTAGTACTAGTAATAGTAATTCAGTTCCTATACTTGAGTGCTTGGCAACAGCAACTAACCTATTAAGAGGTGAGCAATGTAAATGTGAAGACTAGACTATGAATTAAAAAACTAAAAAATTAAAAGCATGTTAATAAGTTTGAAGGTCGCAGTGCGAGGGCCGGCTTTTATGGCTCACCCCTCATACTCATGTTAATACGTTAACACCTTAACAAAAATCATGAACTAAATGGGGCTGAAAAAGGAAAGAACTACCCTCAAGGGAAACAGTCTGTTTATTAAAACAATAAGTTCTGGGAAGAACTAATCTCCTTTCCTTTCCATACAGATTGAGGGTTGGCCTCAGCGCGGTCTCAGTAGAAAACACCGCGCCAAACAGTTCTTCTGTTATTGCATGTGTGTTCGCTGCTACGGGAACGTGTTTATACACAGACGTTGCCTAGCATGAAACAACTTGAGAACTGCTGAATCGATTACTATTAAATTCATACTGGACAATTTTACATAACAACCTAAACGAATGTCTTGTCAGTTTCTCACTAAATATTCATCAGAGAGAAAAATATTGTCGCGTGTTGGGGTGACTTATAAGACGGGCTTTGGATTGGATTTATTGCACCTTATACATTCACACAACTCTGGATTACAGGTAGTACAGCGCCACCGCTGTTCTGCTCACTTCCAGTTCACCTCTGCACATGCATTAGGGTTCTCTGTCTTCACTAGTCGTATCCTGGCAATGGATTTATCTAAGTCTCCCTGTAACTTCAAATCACACATGAAGAATTCTTGGCACCACCTAATCCCTTTCTTGCCATTTCTGCAGCTGCCAAATCAAAAGACTTAACTTGACTTGACTTGAGACGACTACTGTTATATACTCCATCCCATCTTCTGATTGTGTCCTCTTATAACTCCTCGGCATAGACCCCATTGAAAACACCATCCTCTATCGTCAAGAATGCATGCTTACCGGTCCGTTACATAGCAATGGACGTCCTACTGTCGCACTCGTACGCTTCGCGGGAATGTGTTTACAGAGCTGTTGCCTAACAATGGGTATACACGTAATAATCTTTTGGATAAAAGTTGTGAAGAAAAATAAAACACATTTTACATACAGTATACTTTCTCTGTAAGCCTTACATAATTACATAAAAGAGTTTTCATGGGTACGAGGTTTGTCTGGCAAATTCCCGAACTTTTTAAATAAAAAAATTTCCGCCTGCCTTGGAAGCTTTTCGGCCTTGTCGCCTTCAAAGTTGTCCTCTCCACTTTGAATACATCACTCCCAACGTTTATTCTATACTTCGAAACATTTCTGGGACGCTTCATTCGGGATATTGCGCAGGTCCGCTAGCGAATTTTCCTTTATCGAGTCGTTCGACTCAAAACGTCGGCCTTTCAATGACATTTCTAACTTCGGGATTGAAAAAAGTCCGCTGGTGATAGATCAGGCGAGTAAGGAGGTTGTGGAACGACTGTTGTCTTGTGTTTCGCCAAAACTGACGGATTAATAGCGATGTGTGGCCGGGTGCAATGTCAACATGGAGCATCCATCGGCTTGTCTTCCATACATCAGGCCTTTTTTTTTTTTGTGATAGCCTCACGTGACGTTCCATTACTTCAAGGCAGTATTCCTTGGTCACTGTCTTACCTTGTGGAAGAAATTTATGGTGAACAACTTCCTCAGAATCGAAAAAGAAAGAAGAAACTGTCACCACGACTTTGAACTTTTATCGAACTTTTTTCGGTCGTGGTGACCCTTTTGACACCCATTGTGAAGACTGAGCTTTTGTTTCAACATCGTATCCATAAACCCATATCTCGTCTCCGGTAATAATGTTTTTAAAAGTTTTCATCTTCGTTAGGGCGATTCAAAAGCTCTTGATTCACATCAATTCGAATTTGTTTTTGCCCGTCAGTCAAAAATTGAGGCGCAAATTTGGCTGCAGTGTTATTCATGCCTAAATTTTGCGTAAGAATTTCATGACAATTTTCAAAATGCTTACTTCGTCAGCTATCTCGCGAACGGTTAGAACGAATCACTTTCCTTATTTGGCAACAATTTCAATAGTTCTGGATATTGACGGTCGGCCTGAACGAGGATCATCACCACTTGAAACTCGGCCATCTCTGAAGTTTCCACCACTCGTACGTTTGGGTCCGGCCTAAAGCCTTATTCCCAAATGCTGTTTTTAACATTTCAAACGTCGCCGTAAAGGATTTCTCCAATTTAACACACAATTTCACACAAATTCGTTGCTCTTGAAAATTGCTCATTTTAAACACAATCAAAATCTCCGGGCACCCGTAGCACTGTAACGATTATGACTAAGCAAAATATTGCGTTGCGCTTTTGGCTAAGCTACTTCCCAATTTTTCCACTATGTCGCTGCATGATATGCATTGTTACTAGCGCTTGCTGGCGCGCTATTTAAAAAGTTCGGGAATTTACAGGACAAACTTATACATTTCTGAACTTTATATTCAGCAATCTGCTATGACCTTCAGAACATAATCTGTATTAAGAAAATCTAGACTGCATTAACTTCAGATCTGTTTTGTTCTTTTAATGTAGTGCCCTGTTACAAACATACATTACACAACTTACATACATCCAATTTGTGATCAGTACATAATAATAGTAAATATTAAAATACTGTTTATTCATTTAGCAGGGCTATATAAATTTGAATTTGAGCCGATTTTAGTATCACAACCTAACAGTGAATTGTTGCATGTGAAATTAATGTTTTATTATTATAAGGGAAGAATTCATCCAGTCTTAATTATTTCATTTATAATTCCTTCTGCCAAATGTATCTGTTAAGTGCACAATGTGTACTTTAAATCAGGTTAGTTTCCTACCAACAATACTAATAACATTCAGCCAGTTCGGTGCCACATGTCCCATCTGACTTCCTGTTCTCCCACTAAATCTGACTCACATTTTGATATTTCTTTCACAACTGTCATAAACAAACCTGGCCTATACAGACTTCTTACAATCCATGTACCAAATCTCAAGTCCATTTTCTTTAGCATACATCATTTAACCAAAAGAATCCATCCAAGGCCCTTCGTGACATTTTGTAACCTCCAAGCTGGAGGACCACCCATTGTCGGCTGTTGCCTCCATCTTCAACCTGAGGAAGCACCATGCCGTGGCAACAAGGGACCCACTTAGCACCACTGAAGCTAAGCATGTAAATTTTGGTTTGAAGATAGGTCATAAACATGTATGATATTTCCTATATTCTTTAAGAATTACAGATTTGGCTGTGATAAACTCTGATATTATATCTGATGCAGGACTCTATACTAGAGGAAATTATCTGCAGAAGTATATCACTGAATTGTAGAGTTATAAAAATAACTCCTGACAGCCTCTCTGTATAGATTTAAGCATCTGATGAAAAGTAGGATAATATGACTTCGCAGCTGTTATTTTACTTCTGTAACACCACATGTTTCAAAGAACAGAGATTCATGTCTCAAACGTGATGTCACCACTGTCATGTCAATTTGCTGACAGACTGAAAATATATTTCAGTATAATAACTGAATATTTATGACAACTATATTTCAGAAAGCAGTCTTCTGGGATTTGGCACCGTGTATATGTGGTGTTAACCGACGTTTCGGAGGAACGTATCGCCTCCATCTTCAGGGTAGAAAAAAAAAATATAAGAATCTGCAAGCAAAGAGACTGTGAGAACCGGTAAAAGCAGACTGCGATACAGGTGTCTGACAGTGTACACTTCATTTAACTCTATGTCCTTGGCTGTGCTTATATATTCTTGCTGCAATTTGTATTGCTTTTTAACTATTGTATGTGTACTTGTTGCAATTTGTATTGCTTTTTAACTATTGTATGTGTATTTGCTGCAATCTGTATTTCCTTTTAACAATTTTATGTGTTTTTTTGACAAGTATGGATTATATATGCTAGTGATTTTGTTTGTGAATGTACAAGTTTCCAATGTCTTGTTGGCTTGTTGACATGTTTTATATTCTGTGCCTGTGCACATTTGTGAATAATCTGAAACGCAAATGTATATGTATGTATGTATGTATGTACATTCCTCCGAAACGTCGGTTAACACCACATATACACGGTGCCAAATCCCAGAAGACTGCTTTCTTCATAGTCACCGCCGTGAAAGCCTCAAATCTTACAACTATATTTCAGTTTATAACAGTTTTAAGTAAACCATTTTGCCAACCTATAGCTCTGAAGTTCAGAGGTCTCATGGATTCCTTTAATAAAGTTCCCTGGAATTTGGATCAATAAATCGGGTATGCCAAGAGTTTATATTATATATGTAGGTCACATTCTGGGACAGCTTCTACTCTATTTATTGCAGTAAGTTTAGGAATTCAGACAATCTGATTCACATATATTCAAGACTATAGAAGATACTGCCTTATTAACTCAATATCAAAAGTCTCTTTCTTTCCAGCAGGTTGAAAGCATTTCCTCTGATGATGGTCAGTCTTTGGATGACACAAGGCAACTGTTTGTGGTAAGCAGCAGCAGCAGCAGTAGTAGTAGTAGTAGTAGTAGTATGACAATCTCACTATGTAATGAGATTTGTGCATTTGTTACACTGCATTGCACATATAAATTTAAATATTAAAATTATGAATCTCATGCACTAACATAAATCATTTCTGTCAATTTGATCTACTTAGTTGATAAAATCAACCACTTTGAGTGAGCATAAAGTGAATTTTTTCAAGGGAAGATACTTCTGAGCATGGTGCCACTACTCAGATAATGCCAATTTTATGAAAGATCATATGACTTGTATCTTAAAAGTATTCTGATATTTTACTTTCCATTTTACACATTTTGCAAACTAGAAAAATAAAGTCTTTATAGAGATAAATTTTGGTTCCTGCATCATGTCTGTACCTTGGTACAAAAGATTGTTTTTCTTTGTTGCAGATTTTTGTATAAATTAATTTCAATAGGTTTAATTTGAACTGAAAACTGTGAACTCTTTCAAATACTGATCAATAACAAAACAGATAAAATGCAAATTCTACCTGTGCCTTTCACAGAAATTTTTTTTTTTTAGAAATATAGTATGAGTACAACTTTGGCTACCCACCGCGGTGGCCTGGGTTCGATCCCGGGTCTGGTCAAGTGGTATTTGTGGTGGACAAAGTGGTGCTGGGGCAGGTTTTCTCCGAGTACTTCAGTTTCCCCTGCCAATCTTCATTCCACCAATTGCTCCACAATCACCCTCACCTATCATCTGGGGCTGATACAATAGGGCAGAAGTGGCCACAGTACAAGGGACTTAGTCCCACCAGACTGACAATAAAAAAAATGAGTACAACTTAATTAACAAATGCTATACTACAAACATGCATATAATTGTAAGACTGTCTGCTGGACATATGAAAAAGACTCTTATGAGAATGGCGAGAACTGTAAAATTACCTCAGTCATGACAACTAGAAAGATAATACTGCTTCTGTGTCATATATACTATATACCTAAAGCACATACTTGCTATACATGGGTTACAAAATTCATTGTGTTACAGATCTAATATTTTGACAAATACTTTGCCATGAAAGGCAGCAGACATCATTAGTTTATTGATCACTTATCTCAAAGAAATCTACAAGAGGGGCACACTCTTCACTGTTCTCACCAAATGTCATTATTTGGTTAACAATTTTGTTTCGTGTTTGGGAATACAGGGCTCAACACTAGGCCTGAAGAACAGTTACTCCAACAGACATTTCCCATGGTTCTCCTCAGATCCTCCAAGCAAATGCTTTTTCTTATTTTGCAATTCATGTTCTACAGTTAGCCTCCCATTCGATTCTAGCTAAATGATGCAGTGGAGGAAGTGTCTCTGAACAGATAAAAAAGAAAAACAATTTAGTGAAATACTGTATCAAACATCATGTTGTGTTTCCTTAATTATTGCATCAATATAACCATTATACATAATGTAATTAACTCTAGCGTTATTTTATTGTACAATATTCTCATAGAGTTTGGGGTACTCATGAAACTAGTTAGGCTGATTAAAATACATTTAAACAAAACACACAGTAAAGTCCATTTAGGTAAATATTTATGTGATAATTTTCCTATCCAGAATGGTCTAAAACAAGGAAATGCTTTATTGCCACTGCTTTCCAACTTTGCTTTAGAATATGTCATTAGCAAGGTCCAGAAAAACATGTGGGGCTGAAATTAAATGGGACACAGATGCTGTCTATGCTGATGATGTGAATCTGCTGGGTGATAATATAGATACCATAAAGAAAACCACAGAAACTTTAATTGACACTAGTAAGGAGGTTGGTCTGGAAGTAAACACAGATAAAACTAAGTATATGTTGCTGTCTTGTCACCAAAATGTAGGGCAAAATCATGACATAAAGATAGGTAACTGATGCTTTGAAAATGTGGTACAGTTCAGATATTTGGGAACAACTATAACAAATCAAAACCTAATTCAGGAGGAAACTGAGAGGAGACTGAATTCAGGTCATGCTTGCTACCATTCAGTCCAAAACCTTTTGTCTTCTCATCTGCTGTCTAAGAACATAGAAATTAGAATATACAAAACTATAATTTTGCCTGTGGTTCTATACGGGTGTGAAACTTGGTCTCTGACATTAAGGAAGGTACATAGACTGAGGGTATTTGAAAACAGGGTGCTGAGAAGAATATTTGGATTGAAGAGAGATGAAGTGACAGCAGGTTGGAGAAAACTACATCATGAGGAGCCTCATAACTTGTACTTTTCACCAAATATAATTAGGATGATCAAGTCAAGGAGGATGAGATGGTCAGGGCATGCAGCATGAATGAGGAAGAAGAGGAATGCATATAGGATATTGGTGGGAGAGCCAGAAGAAAAGAGACAACTAAGAAGACCATGATGTAGGTGGGTAGACAATATTAAAATGGATCTTAGAGAGACAGGATGGAATGGTATGGACTGGATTGATCTGGCTCAGGAAGGGGACCAGTGGAGGGCTCGTGGTAATTAACCTTCAGATTCCATAAAATGCAAGGAAGTTCTTGAGTAGCTGCATAGTTGGTGGCTTCTCAAGGAGGGCTCAGCTTCATGAGTGGGCGAGTAGCATTATTTACTATCGCAACATGTTCTGGCCCATTGGACATCATTAGACTATTTGTACATTTATCATCAGGTTAACTGTTATTTGCCATAAGCTGTGGGGGGGAGGGGGCGGGGTTTTAAGATGATTCTTACACAGTATAACAGTCATTAAGATTACAAAGTAATGAATATAATATAAATCCTATGAAAGTTTCACAGATTGGAGTCAAGACGCAATTTTAGTATAGTATTTCAAGTATTTGATGAGGTAGAACAAAACACTGTTACAAACGGTTTCCTTTTAGGCTTGTCCTCTGAACTCCAGCGATTTGACTACCTAAATGTTAAAGAACCCTTAAATTAGTATGTACTTATTAACAAAAACTGAAACC